TAGGGATACCGTATACTTGTGATGGCAGTCTCCTTAAACTTGATCATTAGTCAGTGATCTGCTTTTCTTCAGCTGTTAGAAAGTTGGCTTACCTTTGATACACTTTTATAATGCAGAAATCTTGTTTTGCAGTAGTTCTGTCACATTTAGTGGTTCAGTTGTTCATCTACTTTTTTCTAAACACTATTGGTAGTTAACTTTTAATTTTAAAGGTGCTTTTATCACTCCTCAATATTAATACTATAATCCTGGCATTTTATTTTACTGAGTGAAATGTAAACTCTTGTATTTAAAGCCTGCATATATTTCTCATATGCAATTCTGAAATAGAGAAACACTTAAACCGGGTTTTTTTATTATTTGTAAATTATACCTCAAAAATTGGTTAGACAACAGGGACCTATTGTATAGCACATGTAGCTCTGCTTAATGTTATGTGGCAGCCTGGATGGGAGGGGGGTTTGGAGGAGAATGAATACATGTCTGTGTGTAGCTGAGTCCCTTCTCCATTTACCTGAAACTGTCATAGCATTGTTAATTGGCTATACCCCAGTACAAAATAAAAAGTATGAAATTTGGGGGAAAAAATAAATCAGGAAACAAAAAGAAACTGGTTAGAAAAACTAACTGAACTACATATTTAAGATCTGTTCATTTAATTCTTTGAGTCTACCTTAATTTTAAACTCTTCTTTTAAAAGTATTGTGTGCATAGCTTCTATTTTCCCAATATTTTTGTTAGCTATCTCCAAATTTCGGTGTGCTCTCGTCAACCAAAAACGTACAGATTAATAAGTCCTTCGGCTGCATAAAATCAGTCACACACTGTTGTTATTTTGGCCCTTATTTCCTCAGAATGAATTTTTTTTTCAGTTACTCATATCAACTGTTTCTTCCATTTTCTTTCAGCACACCAGCTGGACTGCTCAAGATTGTTTCATGTCATAAGGCAAATTTGTACCTATTGGTGAACACTTCCAAATAACAACTAGAGTAAGAAATTAAAAAAAATTTTTTTCCGTTCAAGTCATTTTTCTGTGCTGTGTAGCATTTCCCTGAAAGCTTAATCTCATCCATAAAAGATGTGATGGATACATTACTACTAGATTAATTTGTTTAATCTCAAGTGGGTTTATAATATATTATCATACTTTTAAATTGCTGTCTAGTCTCTCGTATGAGTCAAAAACCTTGCCATTTTGTAGGTTTTTCTTATAAGTAAGTAGAATAGCAGAAAGTGGACTTTCTCTTTAAATCCAAGGTGAATGTATACATGGTTTAAGAAGTTAAATAGTACCACGGTGGTCTTATAATCCAGTTATTTGCTGCCCACATCTCCCCATTCGCAGTCTTTCTCTTTATGAATGACTTTTGAACTCTTTGAGCCTGCTTCGAGCTTGTATTTATTTCCAGTTTTTAAGGAAAATGTTTATCCTTGGATTCATTAGTTTAGATCTTCAGTGAGTTATGTCGTTTTCTTAAACAGCCATCCCTTCTGCTATCCCTCTTTGCTTCCCCTTCCCCATTCTCCCAGTATGTTATACTTTTTGGTGAAAGCCATATTCGTTGTTTACACTGTTTGCCTAGCACATAGTCACAGATAGTGTTGTACTGTCATGCTTTCCTTTTTAGTAGATTTTCTTGTAGTTATTGATTGCCTTTTCTTCATTTGCATAGTTTCTTTTCTGCCTGAGTCAGTAGGGAAGCCCCTACCTGTTGTTAACTCTTCTCATGCCTTCTGAGAACCTCTCACAACGATTTTCCACAAGTTCAGTTAGCACTAGCCAATAGAAATACAGTACCAGCCATGTATGTAGTTCTGCTTTTTCTAGTAGCTGCAGTAAGAAGGGGCTTCCCAGGTGGCGCTAATGAGAGACATAGGAGACATGGGTTCGATCCCTGGGTCGGGAAGATCCCCTGGAGAAGGGCATGGCAGTCCAGTATTCTTGCCTGGAGAATCCCACGGGCAGAGGAGCCTGGCAAGCTACAGTCCATGGGGTCGCAAAGAGTCAGACACGACTGAAATGACCTAGCACGCAGCAAGAAAGGTAAAAGGAAGCAGATGAAAGTAATAGTATAGTTTGCTTAATCCAGCATGTTCACAATGTCATTTCAACCAGTAGTCAGTGTTTCACGTATTTGAGATATTTTTCTTTCTTTTCTGAGTGCTAAGCTATCAAAGCCCGATGTGTGTTTTCTACACTTGCACGCCTCTCCTTTCAGACTTGGCGTGTCTCAGGTGGCTCCTGGCTACTGTGTCAGAGCAGGTTCGGTGATTCCGCAGCTGCAGCTCGGGTCGGAGGAGGCCTCCCTCCTGGACACCTCCGTCCCTCTGTCTGGTCACTTGCTCTGAAGACTGCCACATGGTGACCATCTTGAGACTGCTTTGCTTTGCTTCTCAGTTGGTGTCCCTGTTTTCTGGACTGCAGGTATTCTCATTCCCCTCTGGTGGTTTTGCTCAGCCATGGTGGGCAGAGGCATGCTGTCGGCATGTCCATCTCTTGAGTCACTCTGGTCTGGTCTGGCTGCTCGCCTCCTGGGGCTGCTGCGTAGCTGTCATCCTGGGGCCTCCCTTGCCGCAGCCTGCATGGAAATTTCCTGTGCCTTTGCTCTTGTGGTGGATCCTTTTTTGTTCGTTTGTTTTTCCCCTGAGTATCTTACATCTTTCTCTTCCTTGGTTTTTTTCCTTCACTCAGGTGGAAACTCCAGTGATTGCTGAGAAAAGGAAGCAGAGGTGGTGGGCTTTCTGAGACCCTGTAGATCTGAGCCATTTCTCTTCGTTCCCTCTTGTGTGACGATTATTGGGGCTGTATATAGAATTCTAGGTTAGACACCATTTTTCTTCAGAATTTTGAAGGCATTGCTTACTTGTCATTCAGCTTTCAGTGTTCGTGCAGAATCTGAAGCCATTCAGATCCCCTTACCTTTTGAAAGTGAACTATGTTTTCTTCCTGGAAACTTACAGAATCTTCTCTTTGTTGGCGAGATCCTGGACCTGCACATTACTGTGCTCCAGTGTGGGTCTGTTTTTATCACTTGCTGAGCACTTGATGTGTCTTGTAGATTTCCTTGAACTATTTTTTAGTGTTTTCTTTCCTTGTATTTTATTCTGCTTCATTTTCCATTGTTATTTATTTAGGCTTTGCCTTCTAGAAAGGCAGAGTTTCTTCTCCCTTTATCTTCTGACTCTTCAGTTAAGCTTATCATTTCTTCCATCTTGCTTTCAAGTTTTTATCCAACATCCTGTTCTTAATCCATGAATACAGGATCTTATCTTTCTGAGTATATTAATGATAAACATATATATAGATTTTTTCCCCTCCCCCTCTTATTAATGATAAATATATTTTAAAGCTTTTGTTTCTCTGCACTCTATTTCCTCCAAGGGGCTTGTTTTTCCCCTGTTTTGTTTTTCCTTTAAATCTCTTTCACACTAGAGCCGTTCCTTCCTCTGACGTCTCTTACTCGGTAGTCTGTGCGTAATGAAGACAGGGGCCTTCCAGGGCCTACTGCAGGCTCCCAGTGGGTGCACGGGGCTGGTCAGCACACCTCTGCCTCAGGCCTCTGGGTGCAGCTGGGCTGTTACTTGCTTACCCTCATGATGGTATCTTTCGGTCTTTCCTCTTGTTTGCTCTTACCACCTGGATGGTGCTCTGCCCCCTGATTCACATTTTCCAGAAAGCGAATCTCCAGATTTCAGCAGAGGTGTGAGGCGGCAGGCCCCCAGCAGCAGGAAATGGGAGATGGGGGGGAGATGCAACTCCTCTCATCCAGCCCCGCCCCACCCCTCCATGCGGTGGATCCCACCCCTCGTTCCAGAAGCAGGCTTCCTGCCCTTCTGGAGGGTTCTGTGGTGGAAGCCAGGCCGGCGCTCTGCTGTCCCCGCCACCGGCTTGTGCCTGAGCATCCTCCCGCCTGCCAGCGGCTCGTCAGTCTGACTGCCATCTTCCAGAGTTGTGCTGCTGTTGTCTGCTCTCCTGTTCTCTCACCGCGGGCTTGCCCTTTGTTTTAAGTTGTGGTAAAACATATATAACATAAATTTACCACAGTAACCATTTTTAGGTGTACAGGTAAGTGGCATTAAGTATACATGCACACCGTCGTGCGAGCCTGTCTTTTCATGATAGCACTAGTGAGACAGACGTGAAGGAAGAGACCTCTCAGTGGGGTTATAGTGGTGTTGATGTAGGGCAACATGAGATGTGTGGTCTGTCTAGCAGGACACATGCTGCAGTCTTCTGTGAGTCCAGGCACTTGCTCTTTCTGACAGTTTGATTTAATGGGATTTGTTTACCATCCCCTCGGAAAGCACTTGGGGCTTCCCAGATAGTGCTAGTGGTGAAGAATCCACCTGCCAATGCAGGAGACTTAGGAGATGCAGGTTTGATCCCTGGGTCGGAAAGATCCATTGAAGCAGAAAATGGTAACGTGCTCCAGTATTTTTGCCTGCAAAATTCCATGGACAGAGGAGCCTGGCAGGCTACAGTTCATGGGGCTGCAAAGAGTTGGACATGACTGATCGTGTGTGTGCGTGCACGTGCGCACACACATACGGAAAAGTGTTTGGATAGTTGTTTGGCAGAAAAGGCATTTTATCTGCTCGTGATAAACTGTAGCTTTACAAGAGGTTGCAGGTGGAATCCCCAGGCCAGACACAGAGGGCTCTCCACGGTCTGCTCCCACCCACCTGTGCGCTCCAGCCCTGTGCCTCTTGCGGCGCTGGGTGTTGCTGAGCGCTGTGCCCCGTTCCACGTCGTTTCAGCTCCCAGCCCCATGCCCCTTCCTCCCACCCGCAGCACATGGTTGTCCTTCTGTCCTCCTCCCATGACCTTGGACATGCCTCTGAATTAGCACCTTGCCTTTCCCACACTCCCCAGTTCCCTTTGATGTTTCTTTGTGCGCTGCGTCTTCCTCAGTGCTTGGCACGTGACCTGCACACAGTCAGCTGGACTCCTGGTGCCAGAGATTTCAAGAGAGAACTCTTTATCTCTTATTTTGTAGGATATCCGACATGAAGCCAGTGACTTCCCATGCAGAGTGGCCAAGCTTCCTAAGAACAAAAACCGAAACAGGTACAGAGACGTCAGTCCCTGTAAGTATTCACACACCACAGTTACCTGCTCCCACCCAGCTGGCTCCTTCAAGACCGCGAGCCTCTCAGATTCCTTTAGCCCCGGGGTTTGGTAATAAATCAATAGCAGTCAAGGTTTATGACTTGATTGTTTCCTATAATAAAAGTATTAGAGACTTAAGTAATGGTTCACTTTTCCACCCATGGAGAAGGGATAAGTTTTCTGTTTCTAGAAAATTCAGCGAAGTTCAAAGCACTTCTCTTAGCTTTGACTATTTTAATGATGAATCATTTTCCTACCAGCTGAGTGTGTGTAATGGCAGGCATAATATAACCCCTTCTGGGTGACTCAGCAACAGTATTGTTAGGCCCCAAGCATTGTACTGACCGGTAGCGATGCCCTGCACTGGCATGGGTGGGTGGAGGGGGAGGCACTCACCCGCCGCCTCAGCTAGACACGCGGTCGCTCTGCTCACTGACCTCACCTCTCCCCCCACCCCACCCCTCCCCCATCACTGTTTTTCTGGCTGTTTCCTGCCATTAGCCCTCAGTGTGCCTGCTGGCAGCTGCCTCTGCCTTCTGAGTGCTTGACTCTCAGTCCGCTGATGAGTGCTTGACTCTCAGTCTGCTGATACCTCGAAAGTGAATAAGTGTCAGAATCTGTGTAAAGTGAGAGAAGTGGGGCGGAGGGAGAACAGGAGCTTCACCGCCTCCTCTGGGTCACAGAGAGCGTTGGGACTCAGCGCCTCGCGGCGTTGCTCAGCAGCGAGGGCCGTGGCTGCGGCAGCTCCACAGCAGTGCCCTCTGCCGGGGCCATGACTATGCTGCCCGGCCCCGGGGCAGGCCCGTCCCGCCGAAGCCCGCTGTGGTGGAGCTCCCGTGGCTGGCATGCCGGCATCCTGTCGGATGGTGCAGCACCCAGCCCCTGGGAGGGGGGTGAATCAGACCTGGGCTGGCGCTGAGCAGTCTGCCTCCCACGGCTGCCGTGGCTCTCCGCCCCTCTGAGCAGGCGGCCTCAAGCGGGGCTGCCCTCTCTGATCTTCAGCCACACAGGAGTCACAGGGATCTCAGGACTGGGCGCACGCTGAAGTCAGGTTGCATCAGAGTGTAGCCCTGTGTCTCACTCCGTGTTGGCTGTGGTTGAGACTGTCAGGAGCTGAAGTGCCCGCCAGGAGCATCCACCGTGCAGGTCTAGGTCAGGTGACACAGGATTTAGCACTTCTAGGCTATGGCCCCACATAGATTTTATTTAAAAATAATACTCATGGCCCCTTCTCAGGGAATTCTGCCACGAGGCCCTGGCCAGCTGCCCTGCGCCAGAATCACCATCACAGTTCACACCGTACGCACGGCGCCCACCGAGCCCTTGGTCTGTAGCCTTTGGTGTACTCACTCTGAATTAGGCAACAGTGTTATCTTTCATATTTCTTTTCTGTGTTTGCAATCAGTATTCATCTAAATAATTTTGTAAATCAGCGTTATAGAGAAAAAAACAGCATTTGAAATATTCTTCCAGGGATACAATTCCCAAACTTTTTAACCAGTCTTTAACTCCTTGCATTTTTCTCCCCTGCCCTCCACTCTTCACTAGAGAAGGTAGTTTGCTTTTAAAGCTATGAAGAAAATGGGGAGAATGTTTCAAGGTAGAAGGTGATCCTATTGTCTTCCATTTGGCAGGTGACAAACACAGCACTCAGAAGATACGTTGTCTGCCCAAGGGCACCACCCAGTGCTGGGAGACCTCTTATCTCCATGGCCTGTCTCAGTGTCACCCAAGTGTTTCAGTGTCCTGACCCTCTCTGATGAGAAACATTATTCCAAACAATGGCTAATTGACTAAACATCTCTTTGAAATGCTTTCGAATAGAAAGCCCCTAACTGCTTATTCCCGTTAAAGTTTTCCTTTCTTGCTGGGCAAGGGGAGAACTATTTATGTGTCATCACTGAGTTTACCGTCCCTTGTGTTACCAGAAATAAAAACACCCACCTGTGCTTGTTAAAGGCCCTGGCAAGATAAAGAAAGTTGCTCTTGGGAAAATAGGACTTTTGTGACAAAACTGTGGTAAAGAGGAAAAGAAGTGGCTGTCTTTTTTAGTAATCCAGGGCAGACTGTTGGAACGCAAGTGTATTTCCAAAAACTATTGCAAAAGTCACTTTTAATGTATTTTCAGTGTTGTGTGTTGAATTCAGACTCTATATTTTCCTGTTAAACTCTCTTTTAAATGTCTTTGATTGTGACATTTATGTTTTACTTGAACTTTTTTAAAGACAACCTTGTATCAAGGAATTTGAGGTATGAATTTTCACACTGTTGTATACTTCACCCATTTAATTTTGGAAGCATTAGACACAGGTGAGGCTAAGACATGATCGTAAATCTTACCAACTTGGTTCATTGTACCCACTTAAGCTCCAGGGACTGGGTGGAATATTGGTGGATTTCGTTCCCTTTTAAAGATCAAAGTCATTGCATTTTTCACTCATAAAGGTATATTTTAGGCCTCAGAAAATAGATTCCTTGATGTCCCGCCCCCCCCCCCCCGCCCCCGTCTTCTGAGGTGTGAGGACAGTAATAAATTTTATAAAACAATAAAGCCTAGAAACAGATTTCCCAAACAGGAGTTAGTCTCTGTTTTAGTGTAATTTGTTTCTGTTACTATTTTGTATTAAGTTTCAGATACTTTCAAAAACCTTCTGAAAGTACTAGTTGTTCCCATTATTGGAGACACTAATTTAATCTCAAAACAGTTTGGACTCACCCAGTGTGAACGCCCTGAGTGCCTCACTCGCCTTCTCTGCTTTCCCCGTAGGGCGCATCACCTCTGCAGGCACTTAAGTCCCCCCGGGTTAACCTTGCATTCTGGTTTGCCTTTCAGTTGACCACAGTCGGATTAAACTTCATCAAGAAGATAACGACTATATCAATGCTAGTTTGATAAAGATGGAAGAAGCCCAAAGGAGTTACATTCTCACCCAGGTAAACAGAGTCTGAATTTTTCTGTAATGGTTTTTGCCTCTTTGCACAGCCTAAGAGTGACAGTGCCATAATCCACGCCTCAGATAAAGTTTTCCACATCTTTTGGATCAGGTTTCTAACCCAAAATAGCAACACGGAAGGGAAAAGTCTTCCTTCAGAGATTCAGTCTGATCATGACGTGAATCTTTTCTGGGAAGTATGGCACTCCTGGGTTTGTAGACAGCAGTGAAGTGCCAGGGTTGTCTATCTAGTTTGTTGACAGAGGCCGTAGCCAGAGAAGACGGTACCCGTGTTGAGTCTCTTAAGTGTTTGCTTCAGGGCATCAGGGCTGCTTATGGACTTGAAGAGGCCAGAAATCTTTATCCAGATGGCCTTTGACAATTCCTCTGCATGGTCCTCATTCTTTGAGGATGGAGGGGTGAGGTAGATTATGTGGAGAAACATGCAAAATCACCTGAAACTCCCACTGGTTTTTGGCATCTTTATGGGAAAAGAAATCACAACAGTGGTTTCATAATTGGCCTTTTGTGAAACACTGGTATATGACCCAAAGACTACGGGAGTTTGGGGAAGGGGTCTCTTTTAACTGATTTTCTCAAGTCTTCATCTGTTAGTGGTACACTGATACACACAGTCTAAATCTCTCTCTCTCTTTAAATCCTGATTTTCTTTTCTCTCTTTCCATGTCAGTTTCTCAGGCTTATGTAAGGTTCGGGTCTTAGGGTGACTGTGAACATCATAACTCTGTCTAATACTTGGAGACTAAAGTGACACTGAAGCTAGGAAGCACAGGAAACAAAGTCTGCTTTGGGGTGGGGCATTTTCCTGGTGGCCCCTCTTGACTGTCCCCTTTGTCCCGTCCGGGTTCCTCCCCACACATGACCAGAGTCGGCCCGACACCCCTGCAATCATTGTATGGAACATCAGGCCCTCAGCCCGTGGTCCTCCCGGCCCTTCTGGGGTTGGGGTGAGGGGCAGGGAGACCTTGGTGGCAAGCTGGTGGGAAGAGGTTGTGGCAACATGGCTTTGTGGCAACGTGGCTTTTTGGGAACTTCTCTTTTAGATGTAGTCAAGTTTCTTACTTCCTGATTTCAGCCATTCAACTTTGGTCTGGGGTCAGCAAGCCCAACGCAAGGATAGGGTATATAAAGTCAAACGGGCATTAGGAAATCACTGTGAAAACTTTTACCCCGCTATCCTCCCCGCCCCCACATCCTCGCAGTTGTTTGGCACGTCTGAAGTTCCGTCTGTCCGTCAGATCGTGCCCCAGATGTGTCCAGCTGCTTGCTGACATGGCCTCCCTCTGCCCTGAGACGTATGGAAGGGGTTCAAGCAGCCTGGCCCCAAAGTTGCACCCCTGGACGGTGGGACTGAAAGCATTTCCATGCCACAAAACCAAGATCACTGTGCCCAGTTTTTAAATGTCGTACAGTATGCAAATAACGCAAGGCTCTCGTCTCATTTTTTAAACCTGTAGAGAATAATGTCACGGATAGTGGCCTTCACGCCCACCTTCAAGTACTGGCTGTTCAGTGTGTGGCCTTTCAGATCCTCCATGACTTTAGTCCCTCAGACCCGTTCTGGACTGGAGTGATGTTTGGGGCCATAACGAGAACTCCAGCTGTGGGGCCCAGAGATGCCGCAGCCCTTGCCCACCTGCGACTGTCTGGGTGTCTCATCTCAGGTTCCGTGCTCCAAGGATGAGGAGAATCTATGGTTGGGTTAGCCATTAATAGGAATAATAACAATAGCTCACACTTCTTTGGGTGTCCCCCGTGTTCCGGGTCCCGTGGAAAGGCGCAGTAAGTCTGTGACCATCTTCACAGCCCTGTGAGCAGGTGCCCTAAAGACTAGTGAGCTGGGTGGAGGCGCCACGGGAAGACAGGCAGGGTGCGCTGTCCTCGTGCGCTGCTCACCTGCAGCCAGCCGTGGTGCCCGCTGTCCACCGCCCAGCACAGAGGTCTCTGGTGCCCTTGCTCTGCCCACCCCAAATCAGAAAGCAGAATCAGTGTTTCCTCTCCTCTGTCACTTGGCTCTGAACCAGCTCTGAGATACGGAAATGACCTTTCACTGCATGGTAGAAAATAGAACTGTGGTTACTGACCACTAGGCAGGGAGAGGCGGGTCCCGATCTCAGCCCCGGCTGCCACACTACCTGAGGGTGCTATCGTCCACTCAGTGCCGACATCAACCTCACGCCGGGACGGGTTTGTCTGTAAGACGCACACCCTGTGAATTGTGTTTGCAGGGCCCTTTACCCAACACCTGTGGTCACTTCTGGGAGATGGTGTGGGAGCAGAAGAGCAGGGGAGTCGTCATGCTCAACAGAGTGATGGAGAAAGGATCGGTGAGTCCCAGTTGCCCAGTCTTCACGTCACTGCCTGCGCGGGTGCCTGTCCATAAGGGCGACGTTTGTCTGTTCATTTCCTCAGGTTGCTTTTTATTTCTGTTAGAAAAATCCAAAGCAGCAGTACGTAATCACATGTTTATTGTAAACAAGTCAGATAAACAGGTGAGTTTAAAGGAGAGAAAGGTCACACGGCCCTTCCCCTGGTCTCCACCCGACCCCGGCAGCCGGCCTCCCCAGGTGTGGTGTGTGAGTCCCACTTCCCTCTCCCCCGTGCTGCTCTGCTGGCCTCCTGGAGCGGTAGAACAGAGTTTCACTTTGAAAAGCAAGTTCCTGCTGTGTCTTGATCGTGCCTGCTTTCTCTGGTAAAGTGTCCCTTTGCACAGCCAAGTGGTGGGAGCAGCTGGACGCAGATTCAGCCCCGTCAGATCCGCAGACTCTGGGCCCCTGGCCACTCCTTTCACAGGGACAGTGTCTGCGTGCGCTTCCCTTCAGGATGTGTGGGCCTCTCTTCCGAGTACTTTGCAACATGAACCCGTTTGTTCAGGCCACCTCCTGCCTCTCCTCAGTCTCTTCTGCCCCCTGCATCCAGAGCGATCTTTCTAAACCAGGTCTCCCACACCTCTTGCCAGCTGAAACCTTTCTGGGGCTCCCACTGCTCCCATGGTATATGCCGTGTGACTGCTGGACCGGGTACAGCTGGGCCCTCGGTGGCCTGGGCCCCACTCCCTCCCTTCATCACCTGACTCCAGCCAGAACAGACTTGTATTTGATTTTAAAAACTTTTTTTTTTCTTTAAGTTTCTTGCCCCTTGTCTGGACTAATGACCCAAATCGCACTCACCCTCTCCCAGGCACACGTGGCTTCCCGCAGGTCCACGTGGCTGTGCTGACCTCCCCTCACGCCTGGGGGCACAGTGTGGTCTTCGCCGCAGAGCTTAGGTGCCCTTTCCTCCCCGATGCCCACTGCCAGCCGCGCGGGGCTCCGCAGCCTCTGAGCCGGAGGACCCAGGGGAAGGGAGCCGAGAAGCGTGGGGACCAGCGGGAAGGGAGTCCAGGCCAGGCCGGCACTGGCACCATGCTCGGGCTTAGCGGGGACGCCGCTCGCCTGCCTTCCAGAAGGACGCGAATGCTCCAGAGAAGCCTACCTCCGGAGAAGGGACCGTCGTGGACCTCGGGAAAAGTACAAGTGCGAAGCAGTAACACGTCAAAGGAACCTTGAGCGGTGAAAACCTGAAGGGCTAACACACTCGCCACGCAGACTCGGCCCTGTCTCCCCACAAAGGACGGGGCTTGGCGACAGCAAACGGCCCTCTTAGGATAGTTCATGTTTAAAATCGTATTTTTGCTTCTGCCTCCTTTTCTGAAAAGAAAGGATTCGTTCGCTCTACGGAAGCAGATAAAGTACTTGCCTGAATGTTCCTTTTACCTGAATGTTCAGCTGCTGCAGCAGTGTGTTTTGTCTGAGAAAAAAAAAAGTCTTCAGTGAAAGTGGTTCTTTAATTTTCTCTGCAGGGGCTTGATCAGTAAAACACAAAGTTGCAAACGTGAAGTAAGCCCTCATCTGGCACCTTTCTTGTCAGCAACTTTGAATAAAGAAACAAAACATCAGGTTCCTGCCACAGCGACGCTCTGCAAGGGAAAGCGAACTGTGGTGGCCGGCGGGGGTGCTGAGCACGGAGGAGCGTCGGGGTCTCCCAGCCCTGGTGCTGCTGCCGGCCGGCCGGGTCACGCTCTGCTGAGGGGCAGGGGGCAGCCTGTGACTTGGGGCATCGCTGGTCTCCCCCACCAGCCGCTGGGAGCGCCCTGCCCACGGCCAAAGCCTTTAGAAGCATCCTCAGATGCTGCCCAGTGCCCCCGGGGATGCAGACTTGCCCGCAGTGGCGACTCTGTCATTGTGTGGAGGGTTGAGCCTTTTAAATCAAGACTGACTGACTCAGAGCCCGTCAGAGAAGGTAGCATTTGCCTTTTGTTTGTTACTGAAAGTCCAGGTGAAACCTCTTCCCTGTCTGCACGTGGTTTGCTCCAGCTGCTGCGGCCACAGGACAGCAGGAAAGGTGTCCTCAGCAGGCCCTGCCACTGGCGGTCTCCCACCCAAGGCTGAGCACAAACAGACCACAGATCCACTGTAGGGTCCTTGCCGCTTGGACTGCTGTGCCGGCCGTTTAAAAAAAAAAGGCTGTCACATGTAGTTTACTGTAGTCACGTGGTGTGGTCCCTGCTTTCCACTGTGCCTCCTTTTTACCCTTGGTCACTTGGACATGCAAGTTGGCATGGAAGGCAGTGTATGGTTTATGGTTCTTAAACCTTCATTGGGATAAACATTTTAAATTTGGATCAGTGTTATCCGTTATCGCCCCCATCAGAGCTGACCGGGGGAAATTACAAGAAATTGCAGTGTCTTGTTTGCTCGACTGATCTAATCATACTTTATCCACTGCAGCCGGTGGTTAAACCAGCTTGCAGAGCGTCTCCATGTGATGCACATTTGTTTTCTGGTTTCTTCCACCAGATAGTGACCGATGGTCCCTCTCGTGTGTTTTGGAAGAGCTCTCTGTTGCCCTTCTGGGACCTGATACTTCCTGGAAGACAGTTGTGCAGAAAATGATTGTGTGTGTTAGACCAGTCGTCCTAGTGCCCAAAGTTCTCTTTCATTTCATGTAGAAATTGCATTTAGACATGATAAGCTAGTGTGCATATGTGTGCAGGGGCCAGGCGTGAATATTGTCTAGTCAGGGGGAGTAAGCCAGGCCATAGTCAACCAGAAGCGTCACCCGAATCTCTCTCCTGAAGTCCCTACTAGAGATGCTGTTTGATTTCAAGGGCTTTCAGCCTCAAGACCCTGGGTTGTGTATCACGGGTACTTTAGGCTTTGTCCGTCTCTCTCACACTCCACTTTTAGTTCGTGTTCATCGTTCTTTCAGCCAGATCACCCATCAAAGGGTCACCTCAGATGACTTATGGACTTTTCTCAACATGCCCTAGCTGTTTTAGAAGAAGCCGAGAACTCTCACACCACCGTGCTGGTGGTGACAGCATCTCTAACAGGTGCCCGCTCTGGCCATGGCCCATGGCTGTTTGCTGCCACTCAGGACACGCCTCCAGTTTAACTCAGCAGAGGACTGCTTTCCAACAAAGTAATCTCCTTTTCCAGTCCCTGTGTGTTAGCTTAATAGGATCACAGGAAATAGTGATCTTGTGCTGCTTCTGTTCTGTTCTGTTTTATGTGTTTACAGCAAAAAACTTCTACAGGAAGTGACACAGAGCAGACTGGCATGTTGCTAGAGACGCCTGAGCTCTTTGAAGAACTCCTATTTTTAAATAAGTATTGGTTGATTGACACTCAGTGTGTGCCAAAATTCCTCAGCGATGAAGTTCCAGAGTCTTGGTCTTTATCCAGATAACAGAGATTTGTGAGGCTTTTATATTCACCTTTGAAAGGGAGTGCTTGCTGTGTGGATGAGATTTAAAGGACTTGCCTCTCCTGCCCATGAGACTTGAAAACATGGGCCTTTCTCTGAGAGCAGCTGGCTGTTCTGCGTTTCTGCTTCTTGGCTTTGCTCTCTGTCTGTTCGCTGCCTTGAGTGCTGACTCTAGCACTCGTAGCTCTGGGCCTGCCAAGGTGGTTTCTTTGTTTCTGGTGTCTCAAGGCATGACATGGGTCTGGTTATTTGAAGTGCAGGAATGAATGCCTCCGTTAAACGTCCTCTGGAGTCCTGCTCTCGCCTGCCTCGCGCTCTGTGGCTAAGCCTGTGGTCGTGATCGTGCTGTGCCCTCAGTGCTTCTGTGTCCTGAGTGGCAGGATCACTTCAGTGCTGACAGTTGGGCTCTGTTCCAGGGGTTCATTTTGGCAGCTGGGCTTCCCAGGTGGCACTAGTGGTAGAGAACCCGCCTGCCAGTACAGGAGACTTAAAAGGCGCAAGTTTGATCCCTAGGTCAGGAAGATCTCTGGAGGTGGGTATGGCAGCCCACTCCAGTATTCTTGCCTGGAGAATCCCCATGGACAGAGGAGCCTGGAGGGCTATGGTCCATAGGGTGGTAGAGTCTCGGACAAAACTGAAGCGACTTTAGCACGCACGCGTGCTCATCGGTGCAGGGAGATGACATGGCTGAAACTGTCCAAAACTTCCATGTCCAGGCTCTTTAGAAAACCTTATTGGCCTTCTGTTTGGGGACCATAAAGTTGGGTGCTTTGGTGGCCTCACAATGTGGTGTTTCTTGATTTGTTTCCCTCCCTTTTTTCTGTGGCTTTGGTTTTCATTAAAGCAGGATCAATGGGCATTTGTTGTTCTGTCTTCATCCTCTTCAAGAGCCTCCTGGCTCCTCTGAGTCAGTGTGTGTTGAATTGTAAGTGTCTTGAACTTGTACTGTTTCCCAGAGAGCTGTTGACACACACTGATACTTCATTTGATGGAAGTCATACTGCCTCTGAGGGCCCCTGTCTGGGGATGTATCAGTTCTGGCTATGGACCTGGCAGCTTCTCCCCGTCTACCTGCCGGTTTTGTCCAGAAATGTGTGGTGTAGAAACTTGGCTCACACAGAGCATTGCCACTGAATTTGACCCAAATTTTCTTTCTTGACCTCTAAATGAAACCAAGTCTTTTAGAGTTTGCTTGCTTTAAGGAAAATGTTAATGAGCTACGTTTAAATCAAGACTATCAAGTAGTTCCTGGGATTTTTAAACTTGAACATCAAAAGGACTTTTCTGAACCGAACCAGACCAGAATAAAAGGGTGGGGTGGGGCAGGAGTGGTCCCCAGCCTTGGAGGACCCCTCTCAAGCCTTCTGGATCCTGGTTTGCATTTGATTGCTGCCCCCAAGGGGCTCCCCAGTGGCTCAGCAGTAAAAAATCTGCCTGCGGCGCAGGAGCTGCAGAAGGCATGGGTTCCATCCCGGGTCGGGAAGATCCCCTGCAGGAGGGCATAACACCCCACTCCAGCGTTCTTGCCTGGAGAATCCCATGGGCAGAGGAGCCTGGTGGGCTCCAGTCCATGGGGTCGCCAAAATTTGCGGACTTGACTGAAGCGTATCAGCATGCAAACCCCTCAAGCTTCTCAGTCTCATCTTGTTATCATCCAGTGCTGTGCCAAGGGCACCAGTCAGGTTTTTTATAATCTTGAAATGGCTGCATGAAGTTGTTCTGAGAGACAACCTTGTGTGCAGGCTGGCTCCCCTCGTGGGTGACGGAGGGGATGCGATGCCTGGAGCACTTCTCTCTGTGGGTCAGCAGGATGGCTGCGCCTGGAGTGCTCGTCCTGTCTGCCCACCTCTCCCTGGCCTAGGTCTTCACAGGCCCCTCCCCATCTCCCTAGGAGGCAGGCAGGTTACATTCATGGCAGCTTCCAAAGTCAGAAAACCCTGGGTTTGGAGGTTATCATAAAGCTCATGGACAGTACTCCACACCTCTGTAGGAAGACAGTCCATTGCTCACAATAACTCGGTGCTGTTTTCTGTCCTAGTTAAAATGTGCACAGTACTGGCCCCAGAAAGAAGAGAGAGAAATGGTCTTTGAAGACACAAATTTGAAATTGACATTGATTTCCGAAGACATTAAGTCTTATTACACAGTACGACAGCTGGAATTGGAAAACCTCACGGTGAGTGCGGCAGGCACCTGAGTGCTTGGAGCGGTCCTGTGGGCGGCCTCTGCTTGAGGGGGTGTTTCAGTCGGCGGTGTTACTTAGCACCAGTGGTTTTCTGAGCTCTGAGCAAGATGCAGTTTTCACACTGTGGCGAGCAGTGCCCACCTGCGTACCTCCCAGGTGACCAGCAGTGTCTGGGGGGGACGAGTCTTGGTACCTCCCTTTCCACAGAACGAACTCTCAGCCCAGCTAACACCGGTTCTTAGGGGAAAGGGTAGGTTCTTACCTCAGACCAACTGCAGAGGGTCTAACGTAATAGCCTCGGAGTTAACACCAGCAGGGCATGCGGGCCTTTCTCGACCACAGTCTCCCTAGTCTGCAGTGAGGGAAGAAAGGCCCGGTTTGTGGTCAGTGTAAAGTTTCTAGGTGAAGTCCTGGGCTTGTGGCGGGGAGTTTATAATACCAGCTGCCGGCTATTGTTAAATGATGGCCTTGGACCACCTCTCGGCACTGCTGGAAGCAGCCCCGCTGACGACCCGGCCTTGGGGAGGCTGCAGAGCTCGCCCGCGCCCCACCCCCCGGGAGACCCCGCTGGTGACGGAGGCCGCGGAGGGGAGCCCAGGGCAGCTCCAGCGGCCCCCTCAGACGTGGGCACCCCAGCCTTGTGCAGTCCCATGGCCCACCTCCTCAAACTGTCTGACCCTGGGCCGAGGGCACCATGCCTCCCCGCGTGTCAGTCTGCCCCTAGCCCGGGCTTTTGGAAGGCTTCCCGCAGCGGTCTGTGTGAGCGCAGCATAGGCCCAGAGCTCGCCGCGAGGGGCTCTCAGGCTCCGGAGGGGCCGCGGGCGGACTGACAGGCAGGGCTGCTCTGGCCTTGTCTTCACTCGCAGCTTAGCTTTCGACTTCTGCTCTGTGGTCGCCATGACTCCTGGAGTGGGTTCATAGTGGGAGTAAGATGGAGAACTTAGCGCAGGTGCCTGGGAGCAGAGAAGAGGTGAAAACTGCGAGGCTCTGGGGGAAGGCAGCTGTGCCGCACGCAGGCTCCCGGGCTGACTGATGGAGGGGCTGATACGGTTTTCAGGAATAATCTTGGTGGAGGGTTGGAATGGGCCTGGAGGATTATGTAGTAGACTTTTTTTTAATGCTTTTGAGCACTTGCGAGCCTGGCATTAACAAATGACTTCTGGTAAACTCTTGAGAAAATGTCTTTTGTTCGTTGAAGTAAACGGTTGGGCCCGAGCAGAAGAGGCGCGTGCTGTCTGGGTGGCAGAGAGAGGTTTGGAGAAGATCTGTTTGCTCTAACAGAATGTGATTCTGGAAAAAAAAAATCTGTTCTCAGACTTGTGGATCTTTTCGAGCATACGTCTGGAATGAATTCCGTGAGAAAGAGGTGGGCAGGCATGAGGCAGGGAGTAAACAGAGATAACCCACACCGTTTTAAGAATTTAAAGAAGGAACTTGCTTCTGGCCTGTTTTCTTATTCCATTTTTTAAAGTCTGTTTTTAAGTGCTTTTCTTACCCCTCCCCCCCAAAAGGAAGACACATTTCCTTTAAACTATTGAAGTACATAAGGAGGTCATTTTCTAGGGAGGAAGGCATGGAGTTGTTTGTGTGGTTCTTGAAATTATCCTGATGTGATCAGCAGATTGGTTCCAGTTCTGTAGGAAGATACCAGCGTGTGTCACGGCTGGTGCGGGGTGACGCGTGTGTGTTCTCTGCAGGTGTTGGGTCCTTGCTGTTTGTTGTGGGTCCTTTCCCACGTTTCCGTCACCGTCAGGTCGGGGAGGGTGGTTGTACCGGAGCTGTGAGCTCTGGGAGGGCAGGGCCAAGTCGCTCCCTCTTGGTACCTGGCGCCCAGGAGGCACGTGGCGGACATCTGCCAAGTGAGGGGAGAGTCACTGTCGTCACCAGGTCTCTGGCCCAGTGTTCCCCATCAGCTGCTCTTCAGGTGACCTGGGTGCCGGTGTGGCCCTTGGCTCCGCACCGCTGGTGGGGTTCCTGTCTCAGGCATTACTCACCCCGTGACTGGCTCCCGTGACTGTGGGCTCTTAGCTAGAGTGCTCTTCTCAGCAAGAACCACGGTTTGACTGTCGCCCCTGGCAGCCCGCTGTCGGCCCTGGGAGTGGAGTCTCAGAGGAGCAGAGCTGGAAACAGCCCCAAAGGCCGTCCTTACGGTTCCCCTGGGAGCTGATGGGGCCACGAGGAGACACAGTTGGGGACAAGTGTCAGGGTCCACCTTCAAGGGTCCCTACTGCAGGCTGTGAATGTGGGCTCTGGAGTCAGGCAATTCAGATGGAAACTTCTGCCCCCCTACCTAGCGGAGGGCTGCCTGCCAAGCCTCAGTCTTCTTGTCTGGAACATGGGAGTAACTGGCCTAGTGGGGCTGTGGGGAGAGCTCTGGGAGCCAGGCGCCCAGCCCGGGAACTCATAGACGCTCACCGGTAGGGCTGGGCCAGCTGGTCTTATCGGCACCCCTCCTCGCTGACCATCTATTCATTGAGGACTGAGTTACGCGGGGCATCCTCCAGTCTTTGGGGACTGAGTCAGTAACTTTTTTTTGTAAAATGACAGTCCTCTGAGATGTCCAGGTCGTCTTGTAAAGCCCCGAATTCCCCAGAGCTGGTGCCCCACACTGCGGTTACGTTTCCACTCTTTCATGTCAAACCTGAGGCACTGATGCCAAGACTGCCGTGGGCAGCAGTGCAGCACCACTGTGGCTTACAGAGAGAAGTCAGTTGGGCCCTTGAAGACGGCAGAAGGGGACGGGGCATCGAGATGAGGGCTCCTGGGGGTGGAAGTGTTACAGCTGAAGCCCGGGGCTCAGGGCTTGTCCGCCTGGTCCCTGGTCCCGAGGAGAGAATCTGGGAACGAAGGCTCCTCGTGGAGGCAGGCGGGTCAAAAGGCGCTTCGTGCTTACTTGAAGTTAGTGGTTCTCACACAGGTGATTCTTTGAGAGTCGTCAAGTGCATATTTCTCTTTCAGTCTCGAGAAACCCGGGAGATCTTGCATTTCCATTACACCACGTGGCCTGACTTCGGAGTCCCGGAATCGCCCGCCTCGTTTCTGAACTTTCTCTTCAAAGTCCGCGAGTCGGGCTCACTCAGCCGTGAGCACGGCCCCATCGTGGTTCACTGCAGCGCCGGCATCGGCAGGTCGGGCACCTTCTGCCTGGCTGACACCTGCCTCTTGCTGGTAAGACGGCCCTCAAGACCGCAGGAAGCAGAGGGAGCATGCAGTGACCTCCAGGCTAGCCTGGCCACAACCCTCTGTCACTGTCTGCGGTCAGCTAGCTTTGGTCTTGACTTTCTAGCAGCTTCCCTCCCATCAAGGGAGCTTTACCCTAAACAGCTTCATTTGGAGCAGTGCTCTTAATTTTGATGTGGAAGCCAGAGAATCCCCTTCCCTCACACTTTTCCCTCTCACGCTCCCCCAGGACGTGTACAGTCGTGTTGTACCTGACACCCGACTCCATTCAGCTGTGTCTCCTCTCTGGCTTTCAGATGGACAAAAGGAAAGACCCTTCTTCTGTTGATATCAAGAAAGTTCTGTTAGAAATGCGGAAATTTCGGATGGGACTGATCCAGACCGCAGACCAGCTCCGCTTTTCCTACCTGGCTGTGATCGAGGGCGCCAAGTTCATCATGGGAGACTCTTCAGTGCAGGTCAGCATTCCTTCTGCTTTAATCTCAGGTGTGTTGCTTTTAAACTTTTGCCTCTAAAGAAGGAGGCTGCTCACTGTCAAAGTTGAAATAGTGTCAGGTGTCAGGGGAAATAGCTAGACTTCATGTTTAAGTCTGTTTAGCTAGAAAGTTGTGGAAGTTGTCACCATGTTCCAATGTCTTTGAAGTGCTCACATAGAGAGTGCTAATAGGGAGAATAGACTCCATTTTCCAAAGATCTCGTCTTCCAAGGACATGGCTAGAGACCTGAGAAGCTGAAAGGCCCCTCACTGCTCCTCACTTGAAAGGGAGCAGATGTCCCGATGAATCACCAAACGTGAAGTCTTCTTGCTGCTTTTTCAAGGAGCAATGGAAAGAGCTCTCCCACGAGGATCTGGAGCCCCCACCGGAGCACGTCCCCCCACCGCCCCGGCCCCCCAAGCGAGTCCTGGAGCCACACAACGGAAAGTGCAAGGAGTTCTTCCCGAACCATCAGTGGGGCAAGGATGACATCGAGGAGGAGGTTAGAGAAGACGGCCCCATCAAGGACACAACCAGAACCCCTTTAAATGCCCCCTGCAGCCTGGAAAGGTAAAGTTAGAGGGTCCTGGCCTCCTGGGGGGCGGGGGGCAGCCTCCTCTTTGCAACCGGTGCTTCTGTGTCCTTGGGGAGACGGGGCCCCTGGACTAGCCCTGTGCCTCCGCTGGTTGGCGGAGCCTCTGGACTGAGCCGCAGGTTGGCCCGGGAAAGGGGCTGGCTTTAGCGGGGGTCTAGCACCACCTGGCGGTGCTTGTCGGAACCAGGGCTCTGGTGCGACAGAGACAGGTCTTCAGCCCAGTGTTGACAGCGACAGAAAACAAAAGCGGGGCTTCGGGCCGGTCCTGAAGCTAAATCCCAGGCTTGACCATGCACCTTCAGCCCCCAGAAGTTAACCTTTTCGTGTAGCTTTGATTGTCGCTTTGCTTCCTTACAGTTTGACAGATTACTGAGCACCTACTGATGCATGTGAGAACTGAGATAATTAGACTTCGGCCCCTGGTGGGTGTTGTGTACCATCTTGTTGGGAAGGGAACAGTAGGTTGTGGCGGGGGCCCCATGGACAGGGCTGTGATGGAGGCGCACGCTGAGGTGGTCAGCCTTAGAGAAGAGCCACCTGGCCTTTCCTGGGAGGTCAGGGAGGGCTGCCTGCAGGAGGTGGCATTGTGCAGCTTGAAGGATGGACAGGAATCAGCCTGAGCCCATGGAAGCGGTACCCTCGGTGCCTCCTGTTTTGGAGGGCAGCTGAAGATGAGCGCCGTCTCTGACCTCACGTTTGTCTGCACCTTGAGATTCAGCCTGCAGCAGCTCTCAGCAGGCGTGTGGAGTGCTGGGGTGGTAGGCAGAAGTGTTCATAGTGGCATCACCTGTGATGGTGAAAAACTAGAGGTGGGTTGATTCTGTATCCAGGGAGTGTATCGGACGGGCTTTCTCCCTGTGCTGAATATTCTGTAGCTTTTGAAAGACAGGATCAGAGTTATCTTGTGGCCAGACTTGGGAACATCGTGTGTGAGAGAGCAGGTTGTCCATGGTGTGTGCCCCGCCAGGTCCTCCAGCTAAACTTACCATCTAGACCTTCCCTGGTTACTTTGCTGAATGCTGGCTTCCACATCTGAGTCCTGACCCATGAGCCTACTCCCAGGGCCTTTCGTGCACCTCTGGTTCTGGGGCTCTAGAGACACTTGTCCAGTGGAGCCTCCCAGAGCAGATCCTGAGTGCGGGGAGCTGTGCCTGGCTTCCTGGGCCTCCGCTCACGTTCGAGGGTGGACCGGTGTCCTTCCCCTGACGGCTCATGGCAGGCCACGGGCGAGTCAGGAGCCAGCACAAGGCTTGTGTCACGTCTGTGTTGCGTGTCCTGTTTCTTTGTTCATGAAGACAGTGGAGAGAGGTGCCCTCCACATTCCGTGGGTGAAGGTGAGGAGCAGGGAAGTGTGGACCTGGGAGCTGAAAGCCAGAGAGTGCCAGGAGAACGTGGAGTGGGCCGAGATCCTGAGCGTCTCTGCACCGGGGGGAGCCCACATGCACCCAGGCCTCACCCCGTCCACGGGCCTCCCCTGTCTCCCGGGGCAGTGGCTCTCCGGACCCCTGCCCTGGCACTGCAGCCAGGCCCTGGGAAGGAGGTGGTGACGGGCAGACTTCCGGCCAGTGTCAGCGTCGCCAGGCTGTTTGCAGGGGGCTCCTTTTCCCTACAATTCATCCCATGATAATTGTGTCCTTGCCATTGTCTGCTCGGGTGAGTAACCCTTCTCTGCCCCCTCACTCCTTAGCGCGAGTCAAGACACTGAAGTCCGAAGGCGGGTCGTGGGCGCAGACCCTGCGCAGGGGGAGCCGTCACCGCCGGCAGAGGAGCGAGACCAGCCGCTGAGCCACTGGAAGCCCCTCCTGGTCAACGTGTGTGTGGCCACGGTCCTCACGGCTGGCGCGTACCTCTGCTACAGGGTCTGTTTCCACTGACGGACGTGCTGGCCGGACCGCACACAGAAAGCCTGGCCTTCGCCCAGCGCGGTGCTCAGTGCCGGGGAAGCTCTGAGCCCGTCCCGGAGGAAGCAGGTCAAAGGTTTTCAGAGTCTGGAACTGTGAAGGGCTAACGAGAGAGGACTGGGGTTGATGCACTGGGGTCTGGAGGCACTTGGTCCCCGGAGTAAAAGAGTCTAATCTCAGGGCCTTAACCTATTCAGGAGTAAGTAGAGGAAATGCCAAATACGTCTCTCTCTCTTTTTTTCCTTTTTTTTGTTCATTTGTTTTTGGGGAAAAAAAAATAGAATTACAACACATTGTTGTTTTTAACCTTTATAAAAAACAGCTTTTTGTTATTTCTGGGGAGGGGGGTGGAGAAAAGACTAGGCACTTATGAAACTTTCTTGTACCCTTAGGTGGTGTAACCAGATACACAGTTTTTATTTGATTTCCCAGGGAAAGACTCCCACACGTGTACGAATGTAAACTCCTTTGGAGAAGAGGATTGAGGGGCGGACCCCGTCTGCTAGGGCACATCCCCTGCTGCGGGCTTCCCCGCTGGGAGGAGGAGAGCAGCGAAGGCCATCTCTAGAAAACAGAGCCTGGCTTCTGCTTCTGCTCAGGGCGTCCCGCTGTGTCCTTCCGTCCGTTGCCCCACAGAGCCCTCCCCTCGCAGCCGGCCTGCCCGCCTCGCTCCGTCCCCATTCAGGGCCCCCCAGGGCCAGAGGTCACCACAGGGCGGCTGCAGGCCCTTCACCCAGGCCTTGAGACCCGGACGGAGCAGGTTCCGCTCGGCTCGGAATAGGAATGCTGTCTCGGTAGAAATACCCCCATTGGAATGTGTCGCTGTTCAAGTTAGCGAAAAGATCAAGGAGGAGTCTCAAACCTCCGGTCACAGAGATCACCTCCCAAGGTGATTTGTTCTTTAATGGTTTTTCACATTTTACCTCTTTTCTAAGCAACCGTCTTTGAGTGCATCCGGTGGTTTAGCAGCATACAAACAATTTTTTTTTTTGGAGGTGATTTTTGGGAAGGCAGAGCTCTTGTGAAAAATAAAACTTTTCGCGGGAGGCGGGGGTGGCCAGGGTGTGCATGGGTCTGCAGCTCTGCAGCGCTGGGCTTGTCTGGAAATGCTTGGCTTCTTTCCAGTCCTGTTCAACAGCGATACACAGCCTGACCCAGCGCCACCCTTGTCTGCCTGGCGGGCAGCCGCCATGGGTGAGGGCTGCGGGCAGGGCCGCCAGCCGCCCGCGAGCCCCGGCTCTGCACTGAAGCGGCCCTCCCAGGCACTTGGCCTCGGCTCCGCCCTCTTCCCTGCCTCCCCCTCCCCTGCTCGGAGGACCAGACCCACCGCCCAGTTCTGAGGAGGGCACAGGACAGCGCTGTGCCCGTGGCACGGGTCAGGGTGGCCTGGGTGGGCGGCGGGGCGAGCCTCACGCGGGGGCCCTCAGCAGGCGGCACGCAGAGTCCTCCCTGCCGCCCTCCTCGGAGACCGCCCGTCGTGAGCCGCTCTCCACTCCATATTTATTTTTCCATTGTTTCCCCCAAAGGCATCCACAGTGCACTAGCATCTTCTTAAACCAATAACATGTTCAAGTTTTTGATGTCAGCCTTGGACCAAGGGCTTTATCCAAACATACAGCAGTAAACCCTCAGGTCGGGCTGGGACGGGAGGACTCTGCCGTGAGCCTCCGCGTGGACCAGTGCCCGGTAGGAGGATGGCTGGGTGCTGTTGCCACGTCACGATGCTGCAGGGAGCTCGAGAAGTCTGCGTGTGTTCACAGAACAAGGGAATGATACATAGTGGACACTTGGCTATTTAAGACATGGTGTGAGGTTCCTTTGTCCTGGGTCCTCCCCTCCCCAGTTACCTGCTCAACCTTGATCTCAGCCCCCACTCTCCTTATGTGTATTAAGATGCATGTCCTGTCTTCCTGTGTCCCCATCAGATACAATGTGCTTGGAACACTTAGCGCTCTGCTGACTCATGTGCCCCATGTACAAGTCCAGTTTCCCTTTGCACGGTCTGATCATTACATGGCTGTGGTTCCTAAGACTGTTACTGAAATAGTTGCCATTCAGTAGTGGAATGACGTTTTCCAGTAACAGATAGTTGCCTAACTCCTGGCACGACACTCTGGTGACTTCCTCGTGAGGCCCAGCCTGTCCTGCTCCAGCTGGGTCCACTGCAGCTCAGACATTCCAAGGGTATGGGAAGCCACAGTCACACCTGCACTCTGGGTATGTAGACAGCAGGGTCCTCCCACCCACATACACACGCACCTTTGGGACAGCCGCTACTGCTCCCGAGTTCACACTCGCCTGGAGCGGACCGTGACTTGGAACCAAGGCAACTGTTGGAAACCGCTCTTCCTGAAACAGCCTGGATGACGGTCCCTTCAGGTCAGCCTGTGGCCCTCTAGGTCCGGGGCCTTGCTGCACGAGCTGTCTGCCCCACCCCGAACCCTGGGGACTGATGGTGCTCAGGACTCTGCCTGCGTGGGGGGACCCTATGACCTCCACATTCAGTGGCTTTTTTTTACCAAGAAAAAAAAAAAGGCAGCTGTGATTCACAAGCTGCTCTTCTGCCAGCATTTTCACATTTTTGCCTTTCACGTGTTAGAAGCTCTGCGAGGAGTTGCTATGGGGGAGCGTCTGCGGCGCTGCCCACAGGCCTCGTAAGGTGCAGATGAGGCTGGGGCCAGGCTGCAAGCGTTTTTGAGCTGGGCTTGTCCGTCTGTTCTGTTAGGTCCTGTGTGTGTCTGCAGTAGTTTGGGTGTGTATATATAGTAGCATTTCAAAGTGGATCTACTGGTTTAACCTCCTGTCCTTGGAAAACAGACGGCTCTGCGTCTTGTCACACGTATGTTAGAGAAGTAGTGAGCTGCTCTGCTATATGCCTTAAGCCAATATTTACTCATCAGGTCATTATTTTTTACAATGGCCATAGAATAAACCATTTTTACAAAAATAAAAACAAAAAAAGCCAGGTGTTTTGGTATAATACCTTTCCAGGTGTGTGTATACGTGGATGCATGATGGGGGGGTGGGGGGCATCTCAGGGTCTTCTGTGACCTCACAGAACTGTCAAACTGTACAGTTTTCCAACTTGCCATATAAATGATGGTTTGCATTTTAGTTGCAACAATAAAAATCTTTTTTTCTAAAGAACATGGATTGGGATGCTTCCCATTTCTTCGCTTAAGGGGCCTAAACGAGACTGGCAACTCGTGTTTCTATCCATCCCTGCTGATGTGAAGCAGATGCTGTTGTTCAGGAGGGGTTACAGCTTTTCCACGTCTGAGGATTACGACCGCCTCCTGGGGTCATGGGTGCCTTTGGTCTGTGAGAACTTTACCCACCTGGTGCGTTTACTCGGAGCTTCAGGGCCTCTTATTCTTACTGCTCAGTAACGGTAACAAAACTCACCACTTCAGTGTATTAGGGCCCTTGGATAACTTAATGAGTTTATACAAGTTGTTTGTGAAGAACTGCTCAAACCTCATGAATGTGTCCCCTTGCCAGCTGCCTTTAGGACTCAGGGTGGCCACCTCTCAGCCCCTTTCCCAAGTCACATTTGATGTAGAACTGATGGAGCTGTAACAGTGGATGGATTCATGTAGTGTAGTCTGAAATCAAATGGGAATCTCCCCTAAGGTGATTTTTTTTTTTTTACTCCTTATTCTGGAATAATTTCAGACTTGCAAAATGTTGAGGAAATAGTACAGAGAATTCCCCTACATCTCTTAATGCTTTATGGTCGTTTCAAAGCTGGCTGCTGAGTAACCTGTGGATGCTGTGGCCTCCCACTGAGATCTGTGGAACCCAGAAAGGAAGACAGCCTGTGGTCACATGGCCCCCGAGTGCCCAGCGAGGACAGTGGGGACCCAGAAGGTGGGACCACACCTGCCGTCACTGTCATCTCAGATACAAAAAAAAAGCAGCCAAACTTTGACGAGGAGGTGGAATGCCAGTGTGAAAAACAATAAATTTGTAACCTTGAGCAGAAATTAGAGCTCAGGGCCAGAGCAGGGTGGCCTGGTGTCTAAGGAGAGAGGACTCAGGGAGCCTGGGGAGAATCAAGAGGCGCCCTGGCCCAAGGCCACCCTCCACTGCCCCTGCAACTGTGGCAGAAGCCACTTCACAGAATGGCACGGTGGACAGGGCCCTGGGGGTTGGGGCAGGGCTGAGCGTGGCTTCTTGCTTCAGGATGTTTGGGAAAACCACCACTGCCTTCCGTGTGTGTCAGGTAGAGTGAAACACCAATAAAAAGTTATCTTTATTGAAATTTCAGAAAACGTATCGGCAAGGCAAATAAATACTGAATTAAACCGAAAAGCACAAAATATATACATGAAATATAAATGAGCATGTTTAAATTACAGAGCTTTCCGATTCCACTGTGGATTCCACATCCAGAACCCAAGATGCCTCTGTATTAACCCAGAAACATCCCAGGACACTCTGGGGTTTTCTTAAGATTTAAATAGGAAACTAATTTTCTTCCTTTAAACATGGTGTTCAGTGAAATCTTTCTTCAGACCAGCGCATGGCCTCTGAAGCTGTTTGTTTAATCAGCCCCACGTGGACTTGCTTCAGAATTCCCTGTGATTTGTGCTTCATCGTGCTCAGTCGCTCAGTCGTCAGACTCTTGTGCAACCCCGTGGATGGCAGCCCGCCAGGCTCCTCTGTCCATGGACTTCTCCAGGCAAGAACACTGGAGTGGGGTTGCCATTTCCTCCTCCTGGGGATCTTCCCGACCCAGGGGTCGAGCCCGAGTCTCCTGCAGTGCAGGCGGATTCATTACCCGCGAGCCCTCGGGGAAGCGCCTCTGTTCTGACTGGTGAAGGTCGAAGCACAGGGCACTCGGACTTCTCGGCTGGGGCCCCGTCCTCGTTTCCTGGTGTCGGGGAGCCACAGTGAGATCAAGGTCCGTGGTCGGCAGGCCGCCGCCCGGCTCCATGGGCATCTGGGCTGCGTGTCGGGTGAAGAGGACAGCGGAGACCCCGGCTGGGCCCTCCCGCATGGCCCCCGACCCGCTCCCACGGCGACAGCCTGTGCTGTGGCCAGGCCCGACCCGCGTCGCCTCCTTGGCAGGGTCAGCCGCCCATTCGCCGCCTCGGTCCCAGGCTTGGAACCAGATTGCGCCCAGCCGGCTGCCCTGCCGACTCCCAGCCTTGGCCTCCCCGTAGCAGGACCGGCGGGCCCTGACCCGGCTCTGCGGCCTGGGGGTCAGGCCGCTGCTCAAAGCCAAAGGCGGACCGGAGTGCGGCCCTCAAAGTGCGGTGCTTGCTCTGCCCCGGGGCTTCATAACTGGCCGGGACGGTCAGGGAGCAGCTTGGCCAGCTGACGCTTCTGGGGGAGCACTCAGCCTGCCCCCCACTGCTGCACCCCCCCCCCAAAATCCTCCCTGTGTTGGGGCCAGGCACAGCACAGACAGGGATGCCGGATTTGAGCCCGTCAGCTGAGGCTTTTTAAAAGATTGTGATTTCAACGTCTGCCTCCTGGCCAAAGGCCGCTTCTCTCTGTTCTGAGCAGAGCCTGTCCATCTTCTCAAAAGCCAAGCGGCCTTTCTCCCCTGAAATATCAAGGCCATCTGTCAGTGGACTGTTCCCCCGCCTCGCTCTCGTCTGCCCTAGGGAGCCACGGTGGCCTCCAGGGCCACTGGAAAGGCTGGGGATCAGGGGGCCCAAGGGCTGGCTCACGTGGACCCCGTGACCCACCCGTGTCCGCACAGTCTGCCGATCCTTAGTCCCGCCTTCCATCTGGCTTTCATCCCCACGGGCCGTAAACGGGGCAGGTTACGAGGTTAACAGAGCGCCTCCTGCCACCTCAACCTTACAGGAAACCCGCCCCGGCCAGGCGCAGTGAAGCGGGTCACTGGTGGTGCCCGTGTGCGGGTTTGCGTCTTGGGGAGCTGACCGTGGCCTCCCCAGCACAGCCTCTCCATGGACCTCGGCACCCCCAGCCCCCGCTCGTACTCGGGAGCATGGAATGCTGGATCTCACCAAAAGACAGCGTGGTTTCCCGGGCAGCCGCGCGCACAGCCTCCACGTCAGACCAGCACAGGCTGGCGAGCTGATCGATGCTTTCCACGCCCTGTTGGAGGTTGGGGGAAGTGGGCCATTTTAAGGAACAGATGTCCGCTTTCATAAAACCCTGCACGACCAGCCCTGGCATGGTCTCTGCGACCTCAGCCCCTTCCTTCTCCAAAGTCTCCCATGCTTCTCATGAGGCCTCAGTTCAGTTCAGTCGCTCAGTCGTGTCCGACTCTTTGCGACCTCATGAACTGCAGCACACGAGGCCTCCCTGTCCATCACCAACTCCCGGAGTTTGCCCAAACCCATGTCCATTGAGTCAGTGATGCCATCCAACCATGAGGCCTCAGGTTCACTGAAGTGCCTGGTGATTCACGGGATAAGAATCCGCCTGTCAGTGCAGAGGACATGGGTTCAACTCCTGGTCCGGGAGGATCCCACACGCTGCGGGCCAACTAAGCCCAGTTGCCACAACCACTGAGCCAGCGTGCTGCGACCACTGAAGCCCGTGCGCCTAGAGCCCTTCCTCCACAAGAAGAGACTCCCCCACAATGAGAAGCCACGCTCTGCACAAAGAGGAGCCTGCGCTTGTCACAACTAGGGAAAGCCCGGGCACAGCCACAGACCAGGGCAACCGAAAATACGTATTTTCTAAAATTTATATTTTCTGGCCCTGGGATAACACTGAACACTGAATCTAGCCTAAGGAAGTAATCCAGAACTCCATATAAATTTTAAGAGCTTTATGCAGGGAGGCATAACTTTGGGGGAATTCCCTGGTGGATCAGTGGTCAGGGCTCCACCCTTCCACTTCAGGGGGCCCTGGTTCGAACCCTGGTTAGGGAACTAAAATCCCGCGTGCCTCAAGGTGTGGCAAAAAAAAAAAAAAGGATGAGTAACTTCAGCATTTCTGCATTTTACACCTTTTTTTGGTTTATTTTTGGCTGTGTTGGGTTTCGTTGCTGCCCGGGCTTTTCTCCATTGGCAATGAGCTGGGCTGCTCGCTGTAGTGACTTGCGGAGTCTGGGCTTCAGTAGACGTGGGACGTGGCCTCGGTGGTGGTGGTTCCAGGGCTCTCGAGCACAGCCTCAATAGTTGCGGCGCACAGAGTTACTTGCTCGGAGGTATGTGGGATCTTCCCGGACCAGGGATCAAGCCCCGTGTCCTCTGCATTAGCAGGTGGATTCTTTGCTCCTGCGCCACCAGAGAAGCGCAATGCTGTTTTTCTACAATGAGCTTATCGTGCTTTTAGAAAATTTTTAATTGAGGCTATTAAATCATATAATCCAAGAGCACAAAAGTGAGCCTCTTGGGGCCACCTGCTTGTTCACACAGAGCCGGAGCAAATGAGCACAAGGTCACTGCCGAGTGGCCTCTGCCCACGGCGCGTCTGCTGGCGGAGCGGACGGCCGTACTCTCTGCAGCCAGCTCTTTGCGGTGCTTTTTCACTGGCAGCGATTTTTTTTTTGGCCCCAGTGGAATCATTTCGAAATGCACTAACTTCAGCGTTAATCACAACCAGGCTTCTCTCCATCACCAGCAAGGGCAGGTTAGACTCACCCGGAGATGTCTTAGCGCCACGCATGCAGCTTGCTGGAGTTTTGCATCATTTTCAGTCAGGGCATTGGTGTAGAAGAGCAAGGCCTAGGAAATAAGGTGGATGGCGGGCTGGAGGGAGCAAAACCCACAGCACTACCCCCGCCTGCCTTCCAGTATGCTGGAAGTATACAGCATGTGTGTATGTATACGTACATGCCTGTGTACACAGCATAGCTGTAGTAGTGGTAGGCCGTGGTACTACATGCCCCATGCGTACCAGCTCTGGTTTATCGAAAGCACTGGTCTCAGGACTTCCCTGCGGGTCCAGTGGCTAAGACTCCGCTCCCAATGCAGGGAGCCTGGGTTCCATACCCATCAGGGAACTGGATGCCACATGCCACAGCTAAGACCCACTGCAGCCAAAAAAATATTTTTTTGAAAACTCATCTAACGTTTACAAAATGTATTCTGAAACTACCATCTTAGGTAAAACGCTACATCAGAGAGATTCGCTGTCCATGGGGGACAGCAGAAGAACTAAACACAGAGGGAGGTTTGGTGAGGCCGCTGGAAGGAAAAGCATCTCTTCGTCACCCTTTCCGGTCACAGCTCTGACCCCGCCCCATCGGTCACATGACCATGGCCATGTCCGTCCAGCTGGAAAATAAAGCTGGTGCTTCCTCTGCAATATTGCTTTAGGGGCTCACAGGAAGCAGGCGGTGGGGGTGGGGGGGTTGGGGACGTGCCTGGCACGTGGGTGTGCCCGAGACTATGGTAAGGCCCCAGTATTGCCCTTCTCCGACCCCAGCAGGCTGGTCCCCTAAATCTAGAATAGTCACAGGGCCAGGAACCTGGCGCAGAAAGGCGCCAGGAACCTGGAACCAAAAAGGTGGAGGAGTCCCGTCTCGGTTTTTCAAGTGAACCAAACACAACGAACCAGCCAGCCACACGTGTTAGATGAAAGTAAATGAGGGTGACTGTCCAAATTCTGAAAAAGGAACATCCTACACGCAGGTGACATCTCAGCAGCTGAACAGACGACGTGGCTGTACAAACACTGTGCTGAGTGAGCTGGTGCTCGTGGGGCACGCGGTCACTACAGCTTGGCAACCCCGGCTCTGCCCCCGGGGCTGGTGCCGCCGACGGTGAGGACAGCCATGCACGAGGCTGTGGTCACGTTCCGAGGAGCATCTTGCGAACGCAGCCCCCCATCACCCCCCTTTGTATTTCTCCGAGATGAAGCCTGCCTGCCCCTGGCTCACACGCCCGCAGAAGCCGCCGCCTGCCACACGCACCTTTTCCCGAAAGCTCTTGTTTCTGGCCGCACCAGCCAGGCGGGCGCTGGCCGCTCTGCACGCCCGGGGGGGTCCGTCCAGCTGGAGCAGCGCCCAGGCCCTCAGTGTCTGCGGCAGGGGCTGGAGCTGGCCCAGCCGCTTCCCCTGCAGCTTCCTGACTGTCCTGGCTTGGGGCCCACACTGCAGCTCCTCCAAGAGCGTTACTGGAAGAGACAGAAGAGACGCCCAGGTCCCCTCTGACTGTGGTTGAGCCGGGCGGCCGCAGGCTGATCATCAGCCATGGAGGAGCAAATCCCAGGACGCATTGGTGTGCTCACCGAGGCCCCGCCCACAGGGGCCTCCTGGAATCTCCAGGAAGGCGTTCTAGCTAGGGGTCAGATACACCCTGAAGATGAAGCGACGCCAGCCCCACTTCAGGGACTCGGGCCAGCCCAGCGCACACTCCTGTCCACTTCCGACCTCGGCCCTGTGCTTTGTACAACCTCCTGCCCTTGGCGCTCGTTTCTACGTGGGCTGAACAGGGAATCCAATTAACCCAGTTCTCAAAAGAACAGCTGGAGGGGAAAGGGATCCTGAAAAACCAGCTTCGCAGAGCCGAGACAGAGAGCTCCGTGAAGGGCTGGCCCCTGTCGTTACCATGTTGCCTGCGGTGCCCGCCGCCCCAGCCCCTACCTTCTTTGGTGAGCTGGGCAAAGTGCTTCTCCAGGTCGGAGACGCTCTGCCTCCGCAGGTAGCTGTGAAACTGGAACCAGGTGACGGTCTGTTCCTCGGGGAGCCCGGCTCCAGGCAGCAGCCCGCTGCAGCTGACCACCTGCTCCAGGAGCCTGCGACAGGCTGGTGACACACAGGGTTAGTGGGAAAGACGCCCCAGGGCCCCGGCCGGTTCAGTCTGGAGGCTCCGTGACGGCCTGGATGGGATCCCTGACGCACCCCCCATTCCCACGAGGGGGACACCCCCAGCTGAGGCCCCCGAGCCTGAGCTAGGGGTCCCGCAGGGCATCCATGCACCCTGGGCCCCACCAGCCCCTTGGTCTGAGCCCCAGAGGCAGGCAGGTGGTTAGAACCACATAGGGTCCAGAGCCACTGCCTGGCATGTGCCTGCCACCCTTCTGTGGACAACACAGAAGGATGCTCCAGCTCTGTGTCTCGGGGAAGAGTCCAGCCAAGACGCACGATGCTGCTGTTGGGCAGACAGGGTCCTGCCTACCGTCCCCAGGGGCCCTTCTCTAAGGTTCTGGTGGAAGCTATGCAATCAGCCGGTCCCCAGAAGCTGCAGCAGCCCACAGATGCAGGCCACTCCTGGGGCTCACGGACTCTGCCCTCCTCCCCCCGGGAAGAGGAGATGCTCTGTGGTCAGGTGAGCGACACCTCCCTTCGATGCCACGTGGGCAACTGCAGCAGGGGCGGGACGGCAGGGGCAGAAGGGAGGCCTGCGGTGGTGACGCTCCAGGCCCTGGGAGCGCCACACAGTGTTTCCCGCGGGGCGTGGGGAGGGCTGGGGGAGGGGAGGGGCTACCTATCTCGAGCTGTCCCGGGTATTTCCCTCTGACTCTGTGCAGGAACGTCTTCTTGAGCTGGTCCAGCAGCATCATCCCCGGGCAGGACAGGGCGGCGCCGGGCCCCATGCAGCCTCTCCAGAGCTTCAGGCAGCCCTTCCTCCGTGTGGCCTGCGGGAAGACTAAAAGGCCGGGCTCAGAAAGCTGCCCGGCGTGCGGGAAGGGCAAGCAACCAGGAGGCCCGGGGGGTTCCTGCCCCTGGGACCCGAGGGCTTGGGGAGGGGGGCACGGCCTGGCCTAAGGCAGGCGCCTTCCCCACGGGCATCACCTGCAGAGACGAGCAGCTTCGGCCCTGAGCCTCATCTGGTCACCGCCCGCCGGCCCCACGACACCCCCGGGCTGCTGTTCCCAGTCTCCCCTAACAGACAAGGGTGGGTCCCAGGGGGGGTGGGGTCCCAGCCCCTGTTGGGCAGCATGCTGTGTGTGTGTGCCTTGAATGTGTCCTGGGGATTCCTTCATTGACACCTACCCGGGGGCCTCCCCATTATACAGATGGGGAAGCTGAGGCTCAGAGCAGCGACTCGTTTGTCCAGGGTCACCCAGCTGACCGAGGCTAGCTGGCCTCCCTTCCCACCCCCATGGTGTGTGTCTGGTCCCAGCCTAGCCACTCCCCCACTCGCGTCCCCTGGGTGCCATTGAACGTCGAGTGTCGGGAAGGGAGAGGAGCCCCACCAACCACGGACTTTCATCCTCATCACTTCCTGCCATTCACACAGCCGGACGGCAGGTACTTACTCTCCTCAATGGACATCGCTTTGCTGACCTTCTCAAAGTCAAGCACGGACAGCGTCTCCAGAACCTGCTTCTGCTGTGCAGCTTCTTCCAGAAGGCACTCCTGGACCATCCTCGACAGATTAGGGGAGCCCAGTTTCTGGGAAGCAGGCCACAGTGCTCCAGGTTAGCCCAGAACGTGCCCTCTGAGGTCAGCTACCACGCCCGTGGCCCGCACCCGCCCCTTCCCCGTCCCTCCTGTCCCCATGCAGCGCCCTGGCATCTGGGGATTCCTCCTCGCCAGAGCAGCTGGGAGGACAGGGTGCAGGCTGGAGCTGCCGGGAGCCTGCCAGAGCGCGAAGCCAACCAGGACAGGCAAGCAGAGCCAAGAGAGCGTGAGACCCAGTCGTGATGTCTGCAGCCCTGGATCCGGCCGGACCTGAAGCCCACCTCTGGGCCTTCCAGGTCTGTGAACCAAAACATTTCATTCTGAACCAGTTTGGACTGGAGCTCCAGCATCTGCCACCTACCAAGTCACCACCGCCGCCTTTGGTTTACGGCCTGGGCTGCCTGAGGACCACACGGCTATTTGCCGCTCCCCCCACTTCGAAGCTTCCAGCCCAGCCTCCCCAGGTCGTCACCCACCTGCAGCAGCGCTTTGCAGACCTGGAGGTGAACTGTGAGCAGCACGTCCAGCTCTGGGGAGCCAGCCGTGAGCTCCCGGGACGACGCTTTCAGCGATGGTGGTGGAGGTGGACTCTTGTCCTTTCTGAGTGGAAGTGAGAACTGGGTGACTGGTCTGTCAGCATTCAGCTGCCTCCAAAGACAGGGGAAACCCTCCCTCCCTGGAGAGCTCTGACCAGGGGGGCCGGCTCCGGGTCCCAGGGAGATGGAGCTAAACTGGGGAGAGAACTAAGAAATGGAGACGCGGCAAATGGGAGCAACAACTCACACGATGCGGGGGCTGGGAAGGCTGCCCCCACCCCCCGCCCACCTTCCAGGGCGTGCGATTGGCAGCAGAAGCCTGAGGGCCAAACGAATCCTTAGCTCAGGGCCTCCCGGAGCCTCAGTTTACTCATCTGGAAAGTGGGGGCAGGAACCCCAAGCTCGGACCACGGGGGGTTTGAGTCAGACACCAGCGCACCCGGCACCGTGTCAGCTCCATGGCAGGGGCTGAGCCCGGGCCCTGAGGGGGTGGACGTGACACGGGGGTGCTGGGTGGAGATGCCACCCGCTCCCCGTGGGGTCCGGAGAGGCGGGGAGAAATGTAACGCATTCGTGTACTCCTGTGCCGCTGAGCGGTGGGTGCCCGGCGTGCTCATGGGGCGGGGCTGCTGCTTCCAGACTGCTCCGCAGAGGTCTCAGGTTCTACTGCGTGTGCTGGTGTCATTTTTTAGGATTTAGAAAGAAAGCCCACTGCTCAGGGCAAAGCTCGGGCCAGCTGAGGTGTCCTTGTTTGCTCTGTTGGTCACGTGCCGGGCACATGGGCCGGGACGATAGTAATAAAGGAAACAGATGCGGAGTGGGCGTGGTGGGAGTCACCGATGGGGCGGGGGCCGGCAGGCCGCTGGGCCCGAGGCTGGACTCCAGGTCAGTGCTGGGAGGGGCGCACTCACCGCAGGCCCTGGGCTTCCCCAAACAGGGCCAACTCGTGGGGGGCGATGTGGGCGTTGAGGAAGGAGAAGCTCTCCAGGATGCACTCCATCAGGCTCTCGGCGGATGCATGCTCCCGGCGAGCTCGGCGGGGCTGCGGGCAGACGGATGGACCGACAGCCAGGCTTCAGGGGCGCCGGGCCGGGGGGCATGTCCCCAGGGCCCTCCCCAAGGGGCCCTGCCACCTGGGGTGTGGGGCCTGACGCAGACCATTCGGGTTTCCAAGAAAAACCAGAAACCTCGACGTTGTGGGGAGCTGCCCAGTTTTTAAATCCCGACAACTAATTGCAAATTATTTTTTAAAGACGGCATGGCTCAGGCCAGACAACCGAGGCCAAAGGCCGCCAGGTGAGCCTCTGGATTCCAGGTGTCTCCTCTCCCAGGAGAGCGTGGTGGAAGGGGAAGAGTCTGGAGGCAGCCCCTGGCGGGGAGCTGGGAGGGTCAAGTCCTCGAAGCCTCCCGGGGGCCGGCCCCCGGTGGCTGAGCCCACAGAGTGCAGGGGGCTGACTCAGACCCCGAGAGTCAGAACTGGGCTCCTGAGGTTGATCCCAAGGAGGAAATCTTGAGTAACAAGACAAGAATAAGGCTACCTGCAGATGTTTCCTTGCTCGATGGGGAAAAAAAATGTTTTCATTTGTATATATGCATGGGCGCACACACACACACACATGGCCCCCATTATTCACAGTAATTATGGTGCATAAAGTCACTGTGACCCCTGGGATTTGAAACTGAACCAGTCTTTGCTCCCACGGGAAATGCAGAGGCCATGAGCCTCGGGTCAATGTTTTTTATCCGCCCATCAACACAGAGCCTTGTTTTACGCGTCTGTGCGTGTGTGTGCTCAGTCGTGTTTGATTCTTTGTAACCCCAAGAGCTCTAGCCTGCCAGATTGCTCTGACCATGGAATTTTCCAGGCAAGAATACTGAAGTGGGCTGCCATTTCCTTCTCCAGGGAATCTTCCTGACCCAGGGATGGAACGTGCATCTCTTGTGTCTCCTGTACTGGCAGGCAGATTCTTTCCCACTGTGCCACCTGGGACGCCTGTGTCTGCTTGAAGGCATCTCGTTTAATATAGACATATCACTGACTCATCAACACTGAATTCAAGGTCAAGGCTGAACAAGGCTTATCCAACACACAGATTTCCTCCACAAGATGCATCAGGAACACTGGGCAGCATCTCAGCCCAGCCCTTGGGGGCTGTTTCCAACAGCAGAGTCACCAAAAATAAGTGTTGGGTTGGCCAAAAGTTCATTTAAGTTTTTCCCCATCATCCCAGGCTCCCTGTCCCACTGCCAGTCACGGCACCACGGGCATGCAGGGTGTGCCCCCGCAAAGAGCACACATACCTTCAGCCGGTCCCTGAAGGCGAGGACCTGGTACTCCAGCTCCCGGAGCTGCGGCGGCGCGGGGTCCATGGGCCTCAGTAGGTCCAGGACCTCCTGCAGAGGCCTCTCGAGGGGCAGCCCAGGCCTACCCGCCGTGTCCTCGGGGTCTCCTTCGTCAGGGCCCTCCTGGCTCCCCGGGAGCCCGTGGTTGTGGAAGGGGGAGCCCCGTGACAGGTCGGGGGTTCCCACCCCCAAGTCTCTCCAGCCCGGCTGCTCCACGAACGAGCCCTGCGCCAAGCGCAGCATGTCCGGCAGGAGGCCCAGGGGCGGGGGGTCCTCTTGGGCCTCCTCTTCAATGGAGGAGTTGGGGCCCATGGCCGCGGGCAGGACGCCCACGTCCAAGGTGGATGCTGACATGCTGGGCTCCGTGTCTCGGGGGTCCTCGGAGCTGGAGGAGTCCATCTCGGGCAGCTCCTGACTGCGGCTCCTCAGGCCAGGGCTCTGAAGGTCGCCATCGGACAGGCAGCTGAGGACCGAGGGGGCCCTTGGCCTGTTCAGCAGCAAGGCCTGCTGTGCCCGCGGCTGCAGGACAGACTGGAGACAGACAGACAGACAGGCCGGCCTCAGCAGCTGCCCTGGGGATCAGAGTGAGACCCCCGAGGGCGTCCCCCCAGACGTCTGCTCTGTGGACCCACAGCCTCGGGATGACGGGGGTCCCCCAAGGTGCCTGGCACCCGGAAGCGCCAGTGAGAGCCTGGCACCTCTCGTACCCCGCTCACTCGCTCCTTGCCAGCCCCAGCCCCCGAATCAGCCGCCGCGAACCCTCACCACGCCTCCCTGAGGGTGGCGCTCTTCTGCCCTCAGAGAAGCGAGGTACACGCAAGGAAGGATGGACGTGCGAGCGTTTTAATCCAGGCCAGCTGACACGAACTCTGACCCCCTCTGCTGCGCCCTTTCCCTCATCAACCAGACCAACGGCTGACGTTCCTACAGCGCCACCTGCTACTGTCAGGCGTTCTAGTAAGCACTCCTCATTGACAGAGTCATTTATTTAACCCTCACAAAGCCCCATCAGGGCAGTGCTGTTAGTTTCATTTCTCCGATACAGAAATGGAAGTCCAGAGAGGTTGAGTGACTTGCTCAAGGTCACACAGCAGATGAAAGGCATAGATAGAATCTGGAGCCCAGGCCATCTGGCTTCAGAGTCCTTGCTCTTGACTAGATGATTTTGTGACCAAAATATGCTGGGACCATCCTGGCCAGACAACCAAGTCTCCTCTGAATGCACAAGCTGCCTGGCTCATCTAAAGCTGCCTTCCCCACCTGAGGTCCAGAGGAGGGCGGCAGGGTGGTCCCGCTCCGCACCAGCCTCCCTCTGGGCTTGACAGAAAGTCCTTGTTTTTGTCCCGCATCCCTGGACCCTCCCTGGGGCATCTACACACAGCGGGTGATCCGTGTACCAGGTTCTCTACTGCCCGCTTGTTGGTAACAGCAAAAACTGAACCTCAGTATATTGTTAAGTAAAGTGTGGTTTTTAGCCAAATGTGGGATGCTGCACGGTGCCAACACGTCAGAGAAGGTCTCCAGGGCATCACCAGGGCAAAGGCTGCCGAGGGACACAGGCTAGAGAGGATGCATCTGCTCCCAGATGGCCCGGAGCCTCTCTGGAGGACCATGGAGGAAGGTGAGAAGAGTGGGGCGCTAAGGAGGGGACCCAGGCTCCTGGAGGTCACAGGAAAGAGGTGTCTCACTGCACACGAAGTCCAGCTATTACCTACTGGAAACACGTTCCAAAGTGCAAAACAAACCGAAGGCCAAGGCCGTGGCCGGGGTGGTAGAACCATCTGGAGAACCCCACCCCAGTCAAGCCCAGAACCGAGTCCAGAGGCCACAGAACAGAGGGCAGGCAGTGAAAAAGAAAAGGTACCCCAAAACACCTCCAAGCAAGGGAGGCTGAACCCAAAGCTTGCTGCCCCGGAGGTGCACACGCTGGCCACGTGCTGACCCCTGGGGAGTCACCCCCTCCCCCACCACATCCCCGCCCAGTGAGGCTCACTCACCAGGTAGTATCTCTCCCGGAAGCTGGGGGTGTTTGGGGGTGTCCAGTTGTACAAGGAGCCCCTCCTGCTGCCTATGGAGAACTTGCCCGGGGCGCTGGGTGACACCAGGAAGCTCTCGGTATCCAGTGGGCTGGAGGGGAGCAGAGGCCAGGCTGTCATCGATGGCCGGAGGCCACTGGACCACAGACAGGACCAGGGGACTAGAGACAGAGGCTTGAGGCGGGGACAGGCACAGTGGAGGGACCCCAGGTCCCCGTTCTGAAGCCTCCTGGAAACGTCTCAGATATCCACTGCCCCGAGGGTCCTTAGCCAGATGGGGAGGGGCACCGATCGGCCCCTTTGATTGGAGGCCCTTCGAGAAGCTCAGCAGAGCAGAGGCAGACACTCAGAGTTGCCGTCTTCTGGGTAAACCATGTCACAGCCACCCGCAGGTTCCCCCCAGGTCAGGGGGCTCCCGTCACAGTCCCGGGGGGGCGCTGCAGACCCGCAGGGGAAGCACCGGAAGTGACGCTCCAGCCAGGCCCTTGCCTGTCCTTGGAGCAGCCAGGGCTGGGTCGGACCTCCCTGCCTCCTGGACATTTGCACGCTGTCTGCAGCGTCTGCATGCTGGCCCAGCTCACAGCGTCTGGAGCCCAGCCCAGCCACAAGGGCCTGCGGCCCAGGGGCCCTGCCTGGATGCCCCCCTGCCTGCCCAGGGCAGCTGCAGGCCAGTGGGACACCCAGGTCCTTGGGCCTACCCGACCTGGGGCTGCAGGGTGCTGCAGGGTCACCCCCTGACCTGACTGCTTGAGCGGTGTGCTCACCCCCACTAGACAAACGAAGGAAGAAGCGGGGGGTTTTACCCATCCACGTCCACCCAGCTCACCCCCAGGGAGAAAGGACAGACGGGCCCCAACTGGTCAGAACGGGCACCAGAGTAGGGGAAGTGTGTGTCTGCCCCGTTGCTCCTGCAGCACCTGCCCTGGGGAATCAGAAGGGAGTTTCCTCAAAACACAAGGTTTCATTTGGGGGAAATAAAAGATCTCTGCTACCAAAAACCAAAACCTGTGGGAACCACCAGGATGGGGTGTTCAGTGGAAAGCCCCACCCTAGGCAGGGGTGGTTCCCAGGGGACTGCAGAGTGACCGCTCAGCCCTGGGCCTGGTGGGCGCCGGGGTCAGCAGGTAAGGAGATGGTGGGTGTAGAAAGGCGGAGGTGGGTTTCTCCTGGGAATCCAGCCCAGGGGGCTGCCATAAAGGGTCCTGGCTGCCCCAGTCTTTTAACAGCCACTAATTCAAAAGTGAGGGGAGAAAAAGAGAATTTAAACTCGTGGGGGGCAGGGGGCAGGCCGCAGCATGGACAGGGCTGCATAAAGTGGTCTGGGCCCCTGCGTGTCTTGGGGGGCAGCCAGGGGCCGGGCTGCCCAGGGTGGATGCTGGGGTGAGGTCAGGCCACCAGGGGGAGCCCGAGAGGCCTCTCCGCGGTCCTCTGCGGGGGGGGACCCACCCACCTTGATCTCGAAGTTCTCGTGCAGGGTAGGAATGAAGGCCTTCTCCTCCTCGTCCCAGGTCTGGCTGTCGTCAGACTCGATGCGGCCCCGCAGCTTCCATCGCTGGCGGCCCAGACGCAGGAGCACCTGTGCGCCAGGCCCAAGACAGAAGCGGTCAGCCGCGCCCCTTGCCACCGCCTGGCGGCCCTCCCTGCCAATTGGCGGGGGTGGGGGGGAGGGACAGGAACCCAGCGGAGACCCTGGTTCCCAGAAATCCCCACTCCCGAAGGCCTGGCGGGGAGCCCTGAGGGCCGATCCCAGAGGGTGGGCGTACCTCGTACTGGTCTCCAGGACAAAGACGTGCGTAGCCCACCAAGCCTGCAACACAGAGACGGGCTCACCTCTCCGCTGTCCACTGTCCCTACCCCGTGGGTCACAGGCCTTCAGGGGGGAGCCCCCCGCCACAAGTGGGGTCATCAGCTTCAGGGGGGCGGGCAGTGAGCTCAGCCATCACGATGACAAGGGGCAGACCTGGGCCCTCACTTTCAACTCAGAGAGCGGATAGGACTTGCCCGAGGTCACAAGTCACAGGAATGGAAACCCTGGGATTCTGACCATCACCCCCCCATCCTCAGCACAGGGTCCCGGAGAAGGTTGGAGGCTCCACCACCCCCCGCCTCCGCCCCAAGCCCTGTCCTGTTACCTTTCATCCTGACGTGGAACTCGCCCAGGTGAACCTCCAGGGCCCCCTCGATGAGCCACATGTCCTGCCAGAGAAGGTGGCTCACTGCCTGCCCCGGGATGGACCACGGGGGACGCACGGACCCTGCCAGACAGAGACCACCACCACCCCCCACCCCCGGGGGCAGAGAGAGGCTGCCTCAGGGCCCAGGGAGCCCCCAGACCGGCCCTCCGCCACCCACCTCGGTGCACTCCTGCAGGCTGCGGCCCAGCTCCTGCAGGCTCTCTCGGGAGGCGCGGCTGGGCGGGCACCGGGAGAAGGCCCGCTGCATGTTGGAGGCGCCGTCGCGCAGGCGGCACTGGATGCAGTAGCCCTCGTAGAGCTCGTCCACCTGCGGGGCGCACGAATCCGGGAACTGTCTCCCCGACTCCATCACCTCGGGAGGCCACACCCCCAAGTCGTGCTGGCCCCGCCCCTGGCGAAAGTGCGCCCTGGAGGCAGTGACCACGTGGGTCCCATCCACTCCGCATCGCCAGCACCCGGCAGCGCCTGGCGCACAGGTCGGGTACGATAAAACTAGTGAGCTGGATGCGTGGATGCGGTTTTCTTTGGTCAAACAGGGAAGGTGGGTGTGTGATGTTCCGTACACCCGCGGGGCTCCCGGGGAGCAGAGCGAGTTCATGGAGGGGTTTGCCCATATAAAGCTTGAGGGCCTTGCCCTGTGACCTTGAGCGCGTTCGTGTCCCCCCCTGTGACCTTGAGCGCGTTCGTGTCCCTCTCTGGGCCCCAGCCCCATCCGTACAGTCGGGTGGTTGGACTCAACACTCCCAGGCCTCTAACCCCACGCCCCTGACCCCCACCTCTGGGCTCAGTCCCCGCGGTCCCTGCACTGCCTTGGCTTTCTGCAGCCACCTGGCGCCCAGAGAGCCTTTCTCCACTGACCCCGCAGAGGTCCCCCCTCAAGCCGAGAGGCGCCCCCGAAACCAGGCTGACCTTGCTGATGTGAAACTCCATCTTCCGAATGTGCCTCTCCACTGAGCGTGTTTGCTTCTCCCAGAAGAAGAGAAGATGCTTTAAAAGGAGCCTGGGCCTCGCCCAACCCCAAGCCCCTGCCACCCTCCTGCAGGTCCTGACACAGAGCTGGGCTTGAAGTCAGGCCAGCCCCTCACCCTCCGTGAGGAAGGCTCATCGCCGAGCCTCAGTTTCCCCATCTGTCAAGTGGGGAGGAAACCCAAGTATTCCTCTCACAGGATGGCCAGGAGGACGGAAGGCCCGCAGAGACATTATTCCCATCCAGCCAGGCCCAACTGCGGCCCGCCTTGCTTACCCCATGCGGACAGAAGTTTCCCTCACCTTGTCCAGGTCGTAATAGAAAGCCTGTGGGCGGGGGGAGAGGTGTCAGGGCTCCGGCGTTCCTCTGAGACCCGTGAGCCTCCATCCCAGGGGCAGCCAAGCTCAGAGGACAAAAAGCCAGCGGCCACTCGGTCCTCTGAGGCCTGCAGTCAGCAAGCTGCGGTCCAGGCCAGGCAGGAAGAAGGAGCGAATGCATGGGCTTTGGGGGAGGCAGCTGAAGGCCTGACCCCATGTGCCAGCTGTGTGTCACAGACAAGCTTCTCTACTCTCTGAGCCTCCATCTCCTTTTGAAAGAGGAGACGCCATCGCATCTACCCCACAGCGCTGCTATGAAAAGGACAGTGCAAACTCAACGAGAGGGGAACCACTGTGATTTGATTATTTAAGGGGCGACTTCAACCACGATCAGAGACTGGGGAGAGGCAGCCAGCAGCAGCCAGGAGTTCAGATGGAAGGAAACTGCAAATCCAGACTGGGCCATCCCTGCCAAGGGCCATGGTGTAGCCAGTGAAAAGAATCTATTGTCAGGGCGAGGGAGTCTTTGTGCAAAGGGCCAGAGAGTAAATATTGCGGGTATTGCTGGCCACATGGTTTCTGCCTTTGGAGTGTGAAAAGCAGCCACAAACAGTGTGCCCACGATGGGTGTGCCTGTGTTCACGTAAAATTTATTTCCAAAACAGGCCCTGCTTTGCCCGCGTGGGTTAGGGTCACTGTATCTGAGCCTGGATGAATTTCCACCAACGCAAAGAAGTAAGACAGGGGAGAGTCTGCAAGTTGTGACTTCATCAGAGCCCTCTATATACCCACAGTCTTCGTACTTACAGTAAGGGGACGAGGGAGGAAAATATGGAAAGATAAATACTAGATGATCCTCAAGGGTTAAACAGGACGGGACAGAGAAGATCGGGGAGGAGGGTCGGTCAAGCAAGAGGGAAAAGATGGATTAACCACCGCCCAAAGGGGGCATGTTTTCCTAGGTATGCATCTATGTGACATCGTATGTGTGGGATTATGAAATGAAAACCCTATGTAAGAAATTAAGAAATGGGGAAGTTCCCAAGGCTTTGGAAAGAAGAGGCACTGTACAGCAATTCCTCGGAGACTGGGAACCGGGCCCCACGTGCTTCGTCCCTCGGGGTGGCCCCTTCATGGCCTCCGTGTACCCACCTATGAAATGGGAGCAGCTAAAACCTACGGACCTCCACACAAGCCTCGCCTTCCTTAGAGTTACTTCTAGAAGGGAGAGACAGAGGCAGCTGAACCAGCCGCAGCCGTGGGAGAGGGAGGTGCGGCAAGCGCTCGGAAGGCCGGGACCTGGGGTGGGGTCTTGGCACCACTTCCTTCTGCCTCTGCACTGACCCACCCACCCCACCCAAGGCAAGGCGTGATGGAGCCCGCCCGCCTCCCCATCCCCCAGCGGCCGGCCCCTGGTGAGGTGGAGCGGCCCTGCATCTCCCACTCTGTTGACCCTCAAAGTCTTCTCTGCTGGGGCCAGGATACAGAGGTGGGGGACACAACTTGATAGACTCATCCCCACCCCGCCACCACACTTGCAATCCCTCCATCAAGCTGGCGGCTGTTCTGTGGTTTGGTGCTTTGCAGGAGTAACGCTAGAATAAGCCAGAGAAAGTCACAGGCAGTAAGGCCTCCTGGTCTCTGCTTGCAGAAGTTTACTCCTGTCGAGGACAGAGGGGTCTCCTGTCCTTGATAAGCAGCCAGATAAGAGACGAGGGGGCCAAGAGGGGCTCCCCAAGACCAGAAAGAACCTGAGCGCTGGAGAGATGCAGGGCCCCCCGCAGGGGGTCCTGGACATGCCAGCAGATAAATGACAAGACAGCCAGTTACATTTAAATTTCCAATGAACGATGGATAAAATTTCTTTTTTAGTGTAACTATGTCCTGAAGATGGCAGGGGACATACTTACACTGAAAAATGATTTGTTATTTATTTGAAAATCAAGTTTAACTGCACATTGTATTTTTTGGGTTTGTTTTTTGGTATTGGGCTTTTCTGGAGTTTGTTTTGTTTTTTTGTTTTCTAAATCCAGCTCTGCTAAGGGCATGGTAAAAGCCCAGAGCAGGTGAATCTTGGGCTGAACAAGCCGCGGGGCAGCCTCAGAGGCGCCCCGCCGGGGGCAAGCCTGCAGAGCCACGGGACGTTGCGGGAACTCACAGAGCTGATGCAGGACGGCATCGGGGCCTCTGCCACACACCCTGGACTCGATGCCTGATCCAGTTCCCTGCCATCACCTGAGCCACCCTGCCTGCCGGGGACTGTGATGGCCAAGACCTACAGAACAGGGCCAGGTAATGCATCCATCCTCCTGTGCACCGATCTACCTCTGAGCTGCTTCTAGAACTAAAGGGGGGCTGGAGGTGACCCTAAGGTGTGAACTGCTGCAGTGTGAGGAGTGGGGGTGTCAGGGGGGAGCTTCCCACCAGCCTGTGTGGTTTAAGCCAGCAGGGTCCAAGGGAGGTTCATTCATTAAAAATAAAGTCCACTCTGTCGGCCTCTGCGTTCCCGAGGCAGGTTCACACCCACGAGGCAGGCCAGGGGGTGCAGCAGGGGCTGTTTCGCACCGGGCCGCTCGGCTGGGAAGGGCTGGGGAGGGGTCTCACCAGCCTGGAATTCCTGCGGGTGTCCTTGTGGCGTCCTGTCAGGAAATCCAGCTCAGCCTGCTGGGCGCACAGATGCTCCCTGCGGGGAGGACGAGGGAGAGGAGCTTGGGAAGGAGAAGAGGAAGGAAAGAAATGGGCGGGGGCGCGGTGTTCCAGGGAGGAGGCAGCCAAGGCCACGGCCTGGGGAGAAGCAGGGTGCTCAGCGGGTTCAAGGGTCAAGGGCAGAGCTGGCCCCCAGCTGAGAGCCCGGCCCCCACCCACTCTGCTTCTGCATCCCACACAGTGTGTGCCTGGCACGGTGCCGAGTGGGAACTCCCCAAACAGCCCTGCCGACAGGAGGGAGCTGCTGCTATTGCACCCATTTTAGAGATGGGCAAACTGACTCTGAAGCCACCCAGTACAGGGTCCACAAGGCACGGAGGAGTCTGAACCCAGGTCTGAAACCAGGCGATGGCTTCCAGAGGCCAAGATCCTCCCCCAGCCATGGGAGCTGTGGGGGGGGTGGGCACGCCTCCCTCACAGACAAGGGGGGGCTGTCCTGCTGTCTGGACGGCCGGGACCAGAAAGGGGCTTAACGAACCCCTATTCTGGAAAACACAGAAAAAGCCATGGGCCTGAGGGGACTTTTCACATTGTATTTTGCAGCCAAAGACACTCTTGAGAGTCCCTTGGATTGCAAGGAGATCCAACCAGTCCATCCTAAAGGAAATCAATCCTGAACATTCATTGGAAGGACTGATGCTGAAACTGAAGCTCCAATACTTTGGCCACCTGATGTGGAGAACTGGCTCATTTGAAAAGACCCTGATGCTGGGAAAGACTGAAGGCGGGAGGCGACGGGGACGACAGAGGATGAGATGGTTGGATGGCATCACCAACTTAATGGACATGAGTTTGGGTGGACTCCAGGAGCTGGTGATGGACAGGGAGGCCTGGTGTGCTGTGGTTCATGGGGTCGCAAAGAGTCAGACACGACTGAGCAGCTGAACTGAACTCTGCGGCTGGCACTTGATGAGCCTCCATTAAAAAGATGGGGAATAAGTGAGTGACTCCTCCTGTCCCGGCCTCTGCTCAGTCAATCAGTCGTTCTCTCCTTCACTCAAGCCCAGCCACCCTGGGCTGCGGCTCCTCTGCAAGCTCCTACCGCAGGGCCTTTGCACATGCTTGCCCTCTGCCCAGGATGCTTGTCCCCCAGAGGCCAGCACCACGGCTGCTGCTCAGAAATGGCCAGGATGTCCCCAGGGCGGCCTCCGGACCCCCCTGTGTGACAGGCCCTCCAGGTGCGGCCTCTCCACCACCTCTGCTTGTCACTGCCCTCTGGGCACGTGGAAGTTATGGTGTTGACCCCATTACCCCTCTATGGCCATCCCCCCTGCCCTCCGTGGGCGTTCTCCATGAGAACGGGGCGCCCCAGCCGTTATTCCCTCATCCCAGCACCGACGGAAGGGGCCGAGCAGGTGGCCGCACCCGGACATGCTTGTTGACTAAACGAATAACCAGGAGCTCGTTCTGTGGTCGCACACAGACAAGACCCACCCCCGATGCCCAGGGAGAGGCAGAGAGGAGCGAGCGGACGAGGCCGAAGGATGCGACAGGCGGCATGCGACCTCCTTACTTGAGCCCCCTCTTCAGCGCTTCGAAGATCTTCTTCACTTGCTGGGGCTTGGGGTCCGAGCAGACGCACCCCTTCCGCAGCGTGCCGTACGTCTTGGAGGATTTCACGGGCATCCGGGACCTCACTGAGTTCCTGTGGACGGACTTTCTGTGAGAAGGGATGGGGGGATCAGGGTGGGGGTCTGGGCACTGCCCTTCTCGGGGACAGGCCCTTCGGAACAGTGGCCAGAGCCCCAGGCGGTCAGGAGACCTAGCTGAGTCCCGCTTCACTGCCCCCAAGCTGCATGGTCTCAAGAAGGCTGCCACGGCTCCCTGGGTCTCAGCTTCCTCATCTGCAAAATGAGCGCTTGAATTCGAAGATGAAAAGAACAGTAACACTAACCTGATGTGAGAAATTAGCTTAGAGTGAGCAATACAATCAAGTGGCCTGAATGCCAATGCTGTCTGTCTGTCTGCGCTCTTGAGCAAGCTCTGTGCAGGCGAAGCAACACGAAGGCCAAGCCATGGTCCGGTGGCGTTTCCAGGCTGGGAGCCTGTTGGCTTTGGCGGCCCAGCATCCATCCCCCGTCCCTCTGTTAACAGCGCCTCAGTTCTCTGGGGCATCTCCCCAGCCCTGCTCTTTATTCACGTAGTGTGGCGAGAGGTAGACTGACAAATCGCTGCATGCACGCACACGCACGCACGCACGCACATGCACGCACATGCACGCGCACACACGGACACGCGCGCACGCACGCGCACGCACACACATACATCCATAGGCGTTCTGAGCAAACTCCTGTCCGAAGCCTCGGTTAGTCAACACATTCCACTCCCCTGAAAGAGAACTTCTCCCCGCTTCCTCGTCTTTCTCGGTCCACTGAGCACGAAGCTCCAGCCACGAGCCCTGGGACCCGCTCAGGGGACAGCTGAGCAGCAAGAGGGCAGGAACAGGCCGCCCGTGGAGCAGACCATCCACTGCCTCTACGCTCTTCTGAGAAAGAGGGAGGAGTAACTGGTCTCATCTAAAACTCTATGTTTTTGGAGGTTTCTCTGTCAAAGCAACTTCACTTCTACACTACTACACTACCCGAGCCTCAGTTTTTTTTCATCTGTAAAATGGGAAATACAGCAGAACCTGAATCAGAGGGTAATGCTAAGAATTCTCCCAGGTACCAAGTCAAAGGTTTGACAGAGTGGGGTCACTTAGTAGGTGCTTAATAAATGTCCATTACTGTTAAAGTAATCGTATCCTATCTGTATCCTTCCCTGTAACACAGCCTGGAAGACAGTAGGTGCTCAGTAAATACTGAGCTAAACTGAACAAGGGAAACGCCACATGTCGAGGGCGATCCTGGGGCTCTTGGCTGGACCTTGAAGGAAGAGCAGGAACAAAGGTACCCGCTCCCCAAAGAAGGGTGAGCGGACAGACTGACCAAGGGTGGAGAGGAGGAGCCGGTGGAGTCGTGTGTGATGGGGCAATGGACCTCCAGGGCAAGGCTTGACTGAAGCAGAGGCGGAAGGTGCTGGACACAGAGGCCCTGCCTGCCTTGGGGACCCCAGGATGGGTGTGAGGAGAAGAGCGTCAGGTCCTAGCCAAGTTCCCGCTTCAAAGACGGTAACAGTGGCAACTGAGAGTTCCACGGAGCGGAGGAACGAAACCCCAGCCGCAGCTACTGGGCCGCTGAGCCAACCAACACCATCCCCGCGGCGGCCCAGGGAGCCGAGTGATAAGACGCAGCAAAAGACATCCGCTGAGTGTCCGCTGTCGCTGGGCACTTGCTAAAGGCTTTGTATAAATATCGACTTGCAAAACCACCCTAAGAGGCAGGTATTAACCCCTGCCAGACAGGGAGACTGAGGCTCAGGTGGGTGACTTGCCCCAGACCACATCCCCCCAGAGGTGGGACCTCAACCCACGTGTACGCAGGTCCTCAGCCTGGGATCTCAACCACCCAGCTGGGGGCAGGATGCAGGACTCCCTCAGGTTCCCAGAACCACGTGGAGGGTTTGTGAGACTCGGATTTGCTCTCCCGCGACCACCACCCTGCCCTGAAGGTTCTGCTCTGACAGGTCTGGATGGAGCCTAGGGCTCCCCGTTTCTAACATGTTCCCAAGTGCTAACCAGCGTGCTGGTCCACCACCAGAGAACCACTTTCTCAGGAGTCCTCCCTTTCTGCTTTGCTCGGAGCCCTCCTCCTGAGAGAAACCCAGCTTCAGCTCTCCCTGGACACCCTTCCCAGTCGGATGCCTTTTCAGGGTTTCACAGCCAGGGCACAAGCTCATTCATTCATTCAGACACTCTGAATGAATGAAAGAGTGGGGCTTTCTCTGAGCCAGGCACCTCGATGGGAGCCAAGGGGCCAGAGTCCTAACCTTGGAGGTTCAAGGTCTGCAGGGAAGGGGGTGAGGGCTTGGGGTCTGGAGAGCAGTCAGGAGGCCAGCAGGACAGAGCTCAAGCTCCTTCACCAGGCCTGGGAGCAGGCCGCTGGGCCATCGATGAGCCTTGGTCCCCACGAGGCCTGACAGGGGGCTGGGCTGCCCTTCCAGTCTAGTCAAGATGCTGCACGTTCCATGGACGGTCACAGAGCCCTGCTGTTGACTCAAGGGTGCTGTCCCGCCCCCCTGCCCTGAGCCCCGTGCTTCCCCAGCATGGATGCCACATCACAAACCAGCGTGCCAGAGACACAGATCCAAGCCTTGCCCAGGCATGCTGAGAACTCCGTCCCAAGGATGCTGTGGGAAAGAAGGATCTGGAACCCCGCCCTGGAAACCTCGGGGCCTCACCAAGCCAGAAACTCATATCATCTCTTGGGACACAGCTCCTGGTCAGCTGCCCAAGTTCAAATCCTAACCACAGAGATCACGGGTACTTAATCTGCTGGAGCCTCAGTTTTCTCATCTGTAAAACAGGGATAATGAGAGGGCACGTCCGGCAGCGTTGTCATGAGATAGTCATTCACTCAGGAAATATTTACTGAGTTCCTGTTACGCACCAGATGCCATTCCAGGAGCCAGGACTAGAACAGTGATCGGAACACTGACAAGACCTCCACCCCATGAGCGGCCCTGCCAGCAGGGGGGAGGTCATGGGAGGCAGCAGCAAGCACAGAGTCTGGAGCCAGGGACACCATCTGGCTCCCCCGGTTTTAAGCTGTGTGACCTTGGGTCAGTTCTTGGATCTCTCTATACATCAGTTTTCTCATCTGTAAAATGAGCACTAGAGGAAAGGTTGCTGTGAGAGTTTATAAATGTAGAGATTCAGGCAATTCCCAGGAAAGAGTAAGTGCTGTATAGATGCTGAAGTTAATAATGGGGACTTTTTAGAGTACATATATCATTTATATCATACAGCAATTATTTGTTGTTGTTTAGTTGCTAAGTCATGTCTGACTCTTTTGCCTCCAGGCTCCTCTGTCCCTGGGATTTCCCAGGCAAGAATACTGGAGTGGGTTGCCATTTCCTTCTCCAGGGAATCTTCCTGACCCAGGGATGGAACCTGCGTCTCCTGCACTGGCAGGGGATTCTTTACCACTGAACCACCTGGAAAGCCCACAACTGTACTCTAGTTCAAAAGTTATAATCAGATAGTGCCTAGCACCCAGAAAAGACAAAGGCTGGATAAGAATTTCAATTGGGTGAACAGGGAAGGCTCCTCCACTCAGGCTGTGCTTGACCAGGTAGCGTGCATGGAGCCCTGACACAGAGCCTGTCACATCAGCAGCGCTCACCCCTGCACCTGCTGCCGCTGTTATTCACATGCTGTATGTCAAGTGACGCTTTGCACAGCCCAGGAGGGGGCTCCGTGCCTCGCTCTCCCACCCTCCCGGATGCCACGTCACCCACCTCTTAGCACACAGCCTCCGCAAAGTTGCCATCTCCAGGCCGGCAGGGACAGGCAGGACTGTAGCCTCGAGAGAAGCAGGTTTCAGACAGGCTAGGGCCCCTGGCAGGCGGGCGGGCGGGCAGGCAGGTGCAGTGGGCAAGCTGCCGGGAGTGGGGCTGCAGGAGCCCTGCTCGCCTGCCAGCTCTGGGGGCCCACGGTCCCTGGCGGGTGCGCACCCTCAGCTGGGCCCCGCTTGCTTCTACCTGGAGGCTTCCTTGCCCTCGGTCTGCGGCTGTGCCTGAAAGCATGGGCTCTCGGGGAGGCCCTGCGCCTGGTGTGCCCGTCTGAGGCCCCACCAAGCAGGTGTGGCAGCCACTTGGAGCCGGCGTGGTGGCCTCTCCAGGGTCAGCAATGCAGCCTCCGGATGGTGAAATCAGGTTGCACGTCTGGCCCAGTGTCACAACCGCCAGGGCAGGGAGCACCCTCCAGGGCGGATGTTACACTAGCCTTGGGAGGACTCAGTAAATATTAAACACCCCCGGCATGCCAGACAGTCTTCCAGACGGGCACGTGCGACCCAGTGGACCCATCCCTCACGGGAGGCCGCCGGGCCGGCTGTCTGCCCGGGCTCGTTGAGAAACATCGGAGGCCCTGGGTGCATGACTGCTGCAGGTGCGGGATCCAGAGGCGGGCGGGGCTGGCGACGGGGCAATAAATAATAGCATCGACCGGACAGGTTTCGGGCGAAGACTCAGAGCTCGCTGCAAGCTCACCTTTCCTCCTGCGCTGGTGGTACTCGATGCCCCGGGGATGAGGACAGACAGGCACACACACCCGCCACGGTCAAGTCTGGTCTGGGTGCTCCGTGGGAGCTAGCCCGTGTCTCCTGACACATCTCTGAGCTCTAGCCCCCCATCTGTCCTCTCTCTAGTCTCCTCTCCTTGGACAGCAAGGGCTGATGCTTCATTTTCACACTGACATTTCCCAGGCATGTCAGCGGAGGAATTCCCAAGGCGATCAGAACACCGCAGCAGATCCTGGCTCGGGAGGCTCCCTGCCCACTAGCCTGGGGGAGGGGAGAGCGGGCTGAGGAATGGCAGGAAGGGGTTGAGAGCGGCCCTGCCTGTCAATCAGGGCAGAAAGGGGACCGTGTCAAGACCTGGCCTTCTTCTTCACCTCCCCCCCTTGTTATATGCGGCCTTCTGTTATAATATATTATTATGTATCAATATTTGTTACACATGGCCTGGTTATATTAATAACATTCCTTCACACCTTAGTGGAGAATTTCCAGATGACTTCCCCAAGTGAATTCTTTGATTATGCAATTAAAAAAAAAAAGTCCAGAGTCAAAGGGTGCCTGCCATCTGCCAGGGCAGGAATGTGGGCCGGGGACACCTAACCGGAGCCTGGCTCTCCTCTTCTCCCGTCTAAGGTTATTTTTGCCTGACCCACCCCCACTGCTGAGTGCCTTGGCAAGCGGCCCTGTTTCAGCCTGGTTGGATTACCTGGGCAATTAAGCCAGAAGGTGAGGCCTGAAACCCAATCCAGACCCAGAGCCAAGGGTCCGGATCCCTGGGCACAGGACAGGGACAGGAAGTTAAAGATAGGCCTGTTGCTTCTCTGCCGTCACGGGCAGCATCTCCCCACCCCCTGGCGAGGGGACTGCAGAGGGCAGGGCCCGATGGCAGCCCCTCAGGAAACTCAGACCCTGTGCACGCCTCCTCTAGAACTCCCTGCGGGGCTCGGGGGGCGCTGGACGAGGACCCCCGGGGGGGCCGGGACAGTTTCAGCCACCGAGGCCATCCCTCTCAGGCTGGGATACAGGCTCTGCAGGCCTCTGGTCAAGACAGCCTTGCGAGGACCACTGAGCTCTAGGGTCAACAGGTCAGATCCGCCCTGTTCTCTTTCTGCCCAGAGACCCCAGGAATCCAGGAGAGGCCAGCAAGAGCCCAGGGACCCCCCTTGGTGCACTCTTTGTGCAGAGCTCCCAGCTGGGGCCTGAAGGGACATTTGCCATGGATTCAGGGGGTCCGGAGGCCCCCAGAAGCCTCACAGGAGAGCTGCCAGCAGGACGGGGGACAGAATCGGTGATGAGGCAAGGCAAGAGAAAACGCAGGACCCTTTGGTCAAAACTTGCTAGGAACTTTGGGGTCGTGACAGTAGTGTGAACTCTGAGCACAGGTCACCGGGTGGGTGTGAGCTCAGGCAGCCGGCCGTGGCCACAGAGTCCACAGACCCCTCCCCGCTGCAGAGCCCCCGGAGTTCTTCTATAGAAGTCAGAGAGAGGCGCCCTCCTGGAGGCCCAGCCGCACACTCGGCTCCATGCGTGCTCAGCCGGGGAGGGTCTCAGGGGCAGGAGGCCCCCGGGGCACATGCGCAGCTATCCTTAGCAGCCCCGACTACAGACCTGATGGGGTGAGGCCCTGGTGAAGCCCAGGAAGAGGCAATTCAGAAATGACTGGGTGCAGAAACAACATCGTTCCCTGGCCAGTTTGGGCGTATCCCCTCTCCACAGCATTTATGGAGCGCCCACTGTGTGCCTTCCTCATAGGGGCACCCACACAGTCCCTTCTCGGAGGCATCAGGGGCGCTGGTGCTAACTCCCTCTGAGGCTTTGGCCAAATTTCTCCCCATCTTGGGGCCTCAGTTTCCTCTGCGCCAGCCCGTCCGTGGCTCCCCTCATGCTCTGCATGTCCCAGGAGTCCCCATACGGTCCTCTCACTTCCTGAGCACTGTCCCCCAGGCCGGCCGCACGCCCACTTCCTGCCCCTCAAAGCTCATTCCCACCCCAGGGCCTTTGCACCTCTGTCCCCCTGCCTGGAAGGCCTCTCTCCCCCACGCCGTCTACAGGGATCCACCCCTCTCCCCTCCAGCCTTCACTGAACTGGGCCCCTCCTCTCTGGGGGCCTCCCCCAGCGCCCCGCTGCCTGCCTGCCTGTCCTGCTTTAACTCCTTCAAGACACCTGCCCCCAGCTGCACCCCGAGGGTGTTCAGCCCTGAAAGGAGGGTGCGGCCTGGGACGGGGCCTGACCAGAGTCGGTGTCCAGCAACACGTAAGGAAGGAATTCGGGGTTCCTAGGGTTTCACCGGACCTCAGCTGGTAAAGAATCTGCCTGCAGTGCAGGAGACCCCAGTGTGATTCCTGGGTCGGGAAGATCGCCTGGAGAAGAGAACGGCTACCCACCCTGGTGTTCTTGGGCTTCCCCTGTGGCCCAGACTGTAAAGAATCCGCCTGAAATGTGGAGACCTGGGTCCAATCCCTGGGTTGGGAAGATCCCCTGAAGAAGGGCATGGGTGCCCACTCCAGTATTCTGGCCTGGAGAAGTCCACGGACAGAGGAGTCGGGCGGGCTACAGCAAATGGGGTCACAAAGAGTCGGACACTAACTGAGCAGCTTTCACTGGGAATTCCTAAGGGTGCTTCCAGGATTTCAAAGCGGACGCACCTCGGAACTGAGGAGCTGAGCGGGGTGGGAGCTGGGAGGGCCTGACTGTGGGGCCCATCCTCACGGCGGTGGGGTCCCCCTTCCCCAGCCCAGGATGCGGCAGTGAAGCTCAGGCCCCTGAGACTAAGCAGGATCGGGCCAGGTGAAGGGGGTTGGGGGGTGGGTTCCGGGTGGAGGTGGGGTGTGGGCCGAACAAAGGCCTGGAAGGGGCAGAGACGCCAGCGGGGCTCCCAGTGCCACAGGCCGGCCAGACCCGGGGGACAGGACTGGACTCTTGGGACGGGAGCCCCTGCAGGGTCTCGGGAGGGGAACGCCGTGATGAGCTCAGGTCGCTGACGGGGTCACCGGCCCACCAGGCCCCGCGCCTGGCTTAGCTGTCGTCACAGCCGCTCGGACAGCCAGCTGGCGGGCCCCTCAGGATGCCAGGGCTGGCAGGGCCATGGCCCCAGGAGCAGGAACGCACCTTGCCCCCAGGCACTCCCCGAGGCTGGAGGAGACGTCACGGAGCCGTCCTGAGCTCAGGTCCGGGGGTGAGTGCCGACCAGGCGTCTCTGCAGAGGCCGCTCCGCCTCCCTGGAAACCTCCCACAAGCCCCTGCTGTGTGCCAGCGTGCCCCAGCGGTCACCACGCGTCGCCTCCCTGTTCCCACATGGCAAGACGGCGAGGGAAGGACACTGGGCCTCCCCCCGGGCACATGAGGAAGCCAGGCTCAGAGAGGTGAAGTCACTTGCCCCAGGTCACAGGCAGCCCTGTTCCCTGTTCCGTCCACCAGGAAGGACATTCTATCCCAACCCCGCCTCCAGGAGACTAAGTTCCAACTCTGAATCTGTCTTGCTGTGTGACCTTGGGTGAGCGGCTCCACCTCTCTGAGCCTCAGTTTTCTGATCTGCCAAATGGGCCTGATAAACTCAGGCAGATCAACTTATAGGATCAACAGTGAGGATTATGTGAGATGACACCTGTTCGGATCTGAAGCAAATTAGAGGTTTCTCCCAGCACCGAGTCTCACGCGCACACACACACACACACACATACACACACACACACACACACACACACACACTGCCCTGGGCTGCAGGGCTGGCATGAGTGAGAGCCTCAGGGCCACGGGCCGCGGAGAAGAACACCCTCACCACCCTCCTCCCCAGTCCTTGGCCTTCAGACAAGCCTCCCCCGCGCGGCGTGGGCAGAACTTACGAGATCCTCCGGCCCTGGGTGCTGCTGAAGCCCGCGAAGGAGGCACTCCGGCCCATGACCCCCACGGTCCCCGTGTCCCCGGAGGACAGGAAGCGCACTCTCACTGACATGGTGGTCACCTGCGGGGAGAGGGCAGGACAGTCAGCCTCGTGCTGGCACCTGGTGAGTGCTGACCGCAGGCCGGCCACCCTCCCCCGGGGCGCCCAAGGGACTGGGGTGGGGGGGGGGGCGGCCATGCTGCGCCCAGCTCACAGATGAGAACACTGAGGCTTGGTGAGGTTGTGAGAGCAGGAGCAGGATGGGAAGCAGGTCTCTGCACTCTGCGCTCGGGTCCTCGGTGCCTGGGCAATGCTGAGTCCTCGTGCAGGAGGAGCCAAGTCCTGAGCCAGCTCTCCTCACCTCCCCTCTGCCAGGAATCCTGACCCCCTCCGTAGACTCCTACGGACCATCTCCTGTGAGGCAGACACTGCCCTCCGGGGCTCCTGGTGCAGCGGGAGGCTACTGAGCCTCCAGGGACAGGAGGGTGTCCCTAGCGGAGTGATGGGGGTACCGGACCCCCCCATGGACGAGGCGACCGAGAGCTGAGAAGGCAAGGCTGAGGAGGGAAGGAGGATAAAGGGAGGGGAGGGAAGGGCATCTGAGGCAGAGGGAACAGCATGAGCAAAGGCCCGGAGGTGCAGAGGACCAGGTGTAACCCGGAGACGGGCAGTTCAGTGGGCGGGGGTGTGGCCCCCGGTGAGGCGGAGAGGCCATCAGAGCACAGGTCAGGGGGACCTCGGCGGCCCCGGGACGGGCTCCAGCCCTGCAACTGGCTGAGGGTGACTGGGAGCCGTGGGAGGTCTCGAGTAGGAGGTGACGAAGCCCAGTTCATAGGATGCCGGGCTACGGGCATCGGAGGCTCCCAGAAGCCCCCGGTCCACTGTCCCGTCTCTGACCCAGCTGCAGTGAGGCCGGCCTAGAACCCTGACTGTCTTTTCCTTTTTCCAAACCATCTTGAGACTGGGGGAAAAAAAAAAAAAAAGCTACTACATCCCTTGGGAATATCGCCAACTGTCTTCCAGCACAATTGGAAAGTTCTCCTCCATATCTAACCTAAATCTCTGCTGCTACAGTTCCATACCTCACTCCTCAGCCAGGGTGGGGTCAGTGCTAGGATTCCAGGGACCCCACTGCCCTACGGGGGGGTCTGCACCGCACTGTCAGCTCCTTCCTGACATCCCCCCAACCCAGTGGCTGAGTCCAGGCTCCACGCCTCTGCCTGCTCTGGGGCCTCTGGCTGGAATAACATTCTCTTTGGGGCCACGTCTGTCCAGTGTCTAGTTCCACACTTTGTAGCCCCTGACGTAGGCTCCCGAGCCCTCACTCTGAACCCCCTGGAAGATTGGTGTAGCCCCCACAAGCTTCCTCCTCCTCCAACACCCCTCACACCCCTCAGCCCCACACCCCCTGTGCGTGGGTGAATGCTAGAAACCAAAAAGCCAGACCTGGGCTCAAATCCCAGCTGCACTTGGGCCACTCCCTGACTCTGGGCCTCAGTGATCACATCTGTAAAATGGGAATTCCGAAAAGGATCAAAGAGACAACAGACTGAACAGCACATGATGTGAAGTAGACACCGGAAGGAGAAGGCGATGGCAGCCCACTCCAGTACTCTAGCCTGGAAAATCCCCGGGACGGGGGAGCCCGGTAGGCTGTAGTCCATGGGGTCGCTAAGAGTCGGACACGACTGAAGTGACTTAGCAGCAGCAGCAGCAGCAGACACCGGAAAGAGCTGGTTGTCTGCGCGGCGGTCGGCTGACCGAGACCCCAGCCTGGAGACCCCGATGCTGGGGCAGGTGAGCCGAGGAACGACCCCTGGCCCTGACGGTTTGCTGAGCACCCACCGCATCGCGACCCCAGTGCCAGGGCCTGTCCCACCCGATAGACCCGTGAACCGCGGCCAGGTGTATGGACGGGGAGGTGGACGCAATCTGGTGGCGGAGGCAACGTTTACTGAGTGCTCGTAAGTGCACTAAGTGCCTAACTGAATTATCTTACTAGCACCACACAACCCCCTTGGCATAGGAGCCGCCTAGCTCAGCAGATGAGGAAACGGAGGCTCAGAGAGACCGCAGGGAGCCCAGGGGCCCAGCCAGGGAGCGGCGGAGCCAGGCTGTGGACCCAAGAGTTCTCAGACACGGGCACGGGCCCGCACCTCTCAGGTATGCGGTCCGGCATCCCCCGCTCCGGGGGCTCACCCCAGCCCCGCGGGAGCACCCCCATGACCCCCACAGTGCCTACCTGGACTGCACTGCTGCCAGCTTGGACCAGCTCACAAGAGTCGAAGGTTAAATTCTCAGGAATGTTGGTAGCTTGAAATCAGCCGTGACAGAATTAAGTGCAGCGTGGTACTGCGCAAATGCTACAAATTAGGTTTTGAGGGATTTTTTTTCCCTGCCGGTTGTTAAACTTTTATCAGCACACCGCTGCCCCCACCCCTATCAGCAGGCTCTGGGTGGCGCTGGAACCTCCTCAAACTGCCAAACACCACTTCCCTCCTCCCCAGCCAAGCTGGGCTAGGAACAGGGGGAGCAGGCAGGGGCACCCCCAAGGCCAGCGGCTGGGGTGTGCCCACCCCAGAGGGTTGGGACCGGAACTCCTTCCCTCCGCCCCCCACCACCCTCCCTCCCAGGCCTTCTGGGGCCTTCCCCCAGTCTCCCTCTAGTCCTCCGCTTCAGGATAAAAGAGAAAGACAGTTGCTAAACCACTCAACAGTTCCTCTGCATGCAGCTCACTAGAACAAACCCACCATCTTCCTGCCCAGCACTAGGAAAGGAGGGCCAAGGAGGAGACCTAAGGTTTGGTGCAGACCCACACGAGGTATCAGCCCCTGGCTGTGGACTAACAGTTCACGCAGGGCCGTGAGGGCCAATGACCCTACTTTGCGTATGAGGAAAGAGGCTCTAAGATGTGAAGGTATCTGCATTTCACATGTGAGGACAGAGGACAAGGTGTTTGGATGGCATCACCGACTCAATGGACGTGAGTTTGAGCAAGCTCCGGAAGATGGTGATGGACAGGGGAGCCTGGCGTACTGCAGTCCACGGGGTCGCAGAGTGTCGGACAGAACTGAGCAACTGAACAGCAATGCGAGGTCTGGCTGCCACATGGGGGCTGATCCCCTGACTGATACCTCCACCCTCTGCCACCAGCCCAGATGTCACCTCCCCCAGGAAGCCTTCCTGGACCTCCCCCCAGTCCCTAACTCCCTCTAATTACAGTGGACTGTGAAAGGTGAGGTTTTTTTGGTCTCCCCCACTAGACAGTTGCCAGCAGGCAGGGCCAGGGACGTTCTCTGGGGCTTGGAGGATTCATAGCACATCTTTCTGGGACCAGAGGCCACGTGCTTCCCTGACTTCACCGGGCTGTGCAGCTCAAGGCGGAGGCCGTGAAGAACAGGATAAAGATAAGAACTTCGACTGTGTGCTGGACTCCAGAGAGCGGGGGCCAAGCGTCTGCTGTAAGGGCCAGATAGTGAAAGTTCTTGGCTCTGTAGGGAGGCCTCGTAGTCTTTGTCACAGCTATGCAGCTCTATCGTTTTAGAGAGAAAGCAGTCACCGACAATATGCAAATGAATGAGCCTGGCTAAGTTCCGCCTAAACTTTATTTACAAAAGCAGCAGCTTTTGATAGATGACCCCTGGCCAGCACTCTGCCTGCTACCTGCTCCAAAAGCTTAAAATCTCATTTAATTCTTTCATCACTATAGGAGGCAAGTATCATTATTATGGTTCCCATTTTGCAGATAAAGAAACCGAGGCTCAGAGACGAGGGAAAATAACTCATCCAAGGTCACACAGGTCAGAGTCTTTAGAGCTGGGTTGAACTTGAACATGACAGGCTTCAAAGCCTGGCTACTTCATGCTAGGCTGCACCTGCCTGTCTGGGGGCTGTGCCGAAGACACACAACCCCCCTCCCCCGCACCCACCATGAGCCTGAAGCGGGGGAAAGGGGGCCCAGAATGAAGCGAGTTCATGACCGAGACCTGCCAGGCTAGAATGCGGCTCTGGAGGTGACAGAAACCCAGCGCCATCCCCCGCAGGCTTCAGTGGGGTGTGGAGCCCAGGTCCCTGCGAACCAGCGTCGGGTCTCAGCAGCGCCCCCTCCTGGCCGGCCTCTGGTAGGGCCGATCCCTGCTCGCGGACCCTTGGGATCGCACCTAGCGCGGACTGCAGGACCGCCCCCTCCGGTGGACTGGGCATGAGCTGGCCGAGCTGAGACCCCTGGGTTCCCAGGAGCCCCCACTGGGCTCCCGACGGGTCCCAACGGATGTCTGTCACCTTTGACCAAGGGTCATCTCGTAATGATGCTCCACTGTTGACACAACAGCAGACCTGACCACCCAGAACAGAGACCAGCACTCTGGAGCTCCTTCTCTTCCCCCCAAGACCGTCCGCCTCCTCCGCCCTCTTCCCCTGCCGGGCGATCCTTTAGCGGCTGGGCTGTGGGCAGGTCTGGGGAGCTGCCGGCACACTGCAGGGCGTGAGAAGCCAGCCGGGGACCTCGCGGGGGCCCCTGGGCAGAGGAGAGAGACAGAAGTCATGCAGACACCAAACCTCGGGCGGCAGACAGGACGTGTCCCTCGCTGCCTCTCTGCGGCCGGGCGCCTGAGTCTTGGGGAGCGCGGGGCGGGCAGGCGGCTGAAGGGGCTCCTCACCCAGCAGCAGCTCCCCAGACACTGAAGGGTTCGTCCTGGGTCTCTCCCCGCCAGGTGCAGCCGGAGGGAGCCGGAGCCGGCCCCTGCCCCCGCTAAATCTGTCCCGTTCAGTGCTGCCCAAAGCTGCCCGCCAGCCGCGGGAACCTGCAATTTCACCTCATTTGGAGGTGATGCTTCTAAATTTAACGGTGTGGGCTCTCGAGGCTGGGCAGCGTTTATGCCCGAGTCCCTCACTTAGGGTTCTTTTAGATCCGCTCAAGTGCCAGCCAGGGATTAGTTTGCTTATAGGAGTTTCCAAAATAGACCTTGGTTTAGCGGGAAAGGAAATGGCAAAATAGCCCAGGATGAGGGGTGTGAGTTTATACCGAAGAGAGGACTGCCAGGGGAACCAGACTGTCTGCACCAGACGCAGTCCAGCTCCCTCGTCTTCTCAATGGCCAGACCCAGCCCAGAGGGGTCAAACGGCCTGCCCAGATCACCCTCAGGGGAGTGGATGGGCCAGAAGAGCCAAAACTCCCCCTCCCTGCCCAAACCCAGCCCCCTGCGCCTCCCCCCACCCCGTAAAACCCCATTGCCAACCGCCACCCAGGATGGGAGCCGCGGAGACCCCCAGGCCCGCCAGCTCGGGCTCCCCCAGTCTCCGCCGAGCCCCTCCCGGGTCAGGTTGCCTGGGACTGGGGAGACGTGCCCACGGAAGGAGAACGTGGTTCCAGTCTCACGCGATCTTGAACAAGTTCTCTCCCCTCTGAACCTCTGTCTCCGGTCTGCAAACGGGGAGGACTGGGCTAGAACGCAGGCACTCTCTGGGCCAATGAGGGACGCACAGCGGGCGCGCGGCGGGAGGGCTATCTCAGTCTTTAGCCCCCCTTTCATCCCGGCTCCCTGGCTCCCTGACACTTGTCACCCTTCCTGTTCGACAGAGCAGAGCTGGCCCCAGGCACAGAGCCAGGGGCAGCAGAGGGGGAGCTGGAATGCAGTCGCCTTGTTTTGTTTTTGCTGAATTTCATTTAAGGTAACCGTCCATTTAGAGCAGACGTCCTCTGTATGATTTAAAGTGGATTTTTTTTTTTTAATGCTGTTTAAATGAAGAGAGTACGGACTTGAAGGACACTTGGTTTAAAGAGAGCAAGTAGGAATCCCCTCTGCCCAGCGGGTCACATTCCTGGGCCCTACCACCAGCTCTCAGGGGCCACCGTGGAGGGAGCACCTGGAGCCAGGAGGGAACACCCCGGATGTGTCTCTACAGACAGACAGCCAACCTCACGGGGACAAATCAGCTGACAGTTCCGGCTTCCGGTGTAAGACAAGAGCAAGTAGCTCTTGGGGAGCCCTGGACCTCAGAGTTCGCTGTCCCATGGCTTCACGGCGGACAGAAACTTCCTGACTGCCAGACGGTTCAAGACCAGACTCTGGTGTTAGGACCCCTGCTGCAAGAGGGCCGCTTCCTCTGTGTATCATGCGGTCCACGGCCCCCTGTGTCCTTCCCGCCCAAGGCAGGCCTGGAGGAGTTCCTGTAAGATCCTGTAAACCCAGCCTGTAGCCTGTCCCGGACCAGTCACAGGACAGGGCAGGCAGGCCCTCTGGTTGGACTTCACAGCACACCTGTGCCCATTTCACACTTGGGAACACTGGGGTATGGCTACAAATGGCCAGGTGCAAGACACAGCTTCAATAACCTTTTTGTGTGGCCCCTAGGAAGATGATTTTGAGGAAGGATGACATGAGAAAATTTTGAAATAAGATGTAAGTAAATTTTCCTAAAGGAAATCAACCCTGAATATTTATTGGGCTGAAACTCTAAGACTTTGGCCACCTGAATTGAAGAGCCAGCTCATTGGAAAAGACCCTGATGCTGGGAAAGATTGAAGGCAGGAGGAAAAGGGGGCATCAGAGGACAAGATGGTTGAAAGGCATCACCGACTCAATGGACATGAATTGAGCAAACTCTGGGAGATAGTGGAGGACAGAGGAACCTGGCGTGCTCCAGTCCATGGGGTTGCAAAGAGTCGGACACAACTGAAGCTATTGAACAACAACAAAAACCAGAGCAAGATGTAAACTACATACAGCATGTTTTACTTAGGTGAAACAATACCTTAAAGTACTTGGAAAAAAGTATTAATTTGAAGAGAATCAAGAGATTGATTAAGCTGCCCTTGGTCAGGCAGTAATCAAGCCGCCAAGCTGACTGTATGTCTGCCAACTAGAGAACACTGCTTTTCAGGGTGAATCTGGGGTCAAAGGAGAGATTTCCCTCTTTAAAAAAATTTTTTTTTTTCCAACGGTCCACAGATATTGTCTACACTCCCAGCTAACTCCACTGGGGCTTTACCAGGCAAAGATGACTCATGAATTTCTGTGAAATATTCAGACGGTATTTTAATTTAAATGGCCCCCGATCACCACTGACACACTCCATCGGCGGGTCAAGCAGGGGTCTTCCGGAAGAGCCAGCAGGTCTTAGCGGAAGCAGCTTCCTGGGGTCCATGGAGGGGAATGTGTATGGGTGTGGAGGTGGGCAGGGCAGGGGGCTGGGCTGCCCAGGGAAGAAAGGGTGATGAAGCTGGGCCTCGGGGAACACCACCCCCACCCTGGTCGGCTTAGGACCAGGAATAAAAATGGCGCCAGGCCAAAGGATCTGGGCATCTCGCCACAGCGCCC